TTCTCCTGCCTCGGCCTCCTGGGTAGCTAGGATTACAGGTGCATGCCACCACACCTGACTAATATTTGTATTTTTAGTAGGGATGGGGTTTCACCATGTTGGCCAGGCTGGTCTGAAACTTCTGACCTCAGGTGATCAACCTGCCTCAGCCTCCCAAAGTGCTTCAATTACAGGTGTGAACCACTGCGCCTGGCCTCAAATCCTTTTTAGAAGATAGAATATAGATGGGGGTTTACTTAGGAGGAGAAACCCTAGTTTTTGCAGGAGATGCTAATAAGTATCAAGGCAGTTAGAGTTGATAAACCCCAGAAAGTCTCAGGAATTGGTTGAAGGCCCTTGTGCTGAGAGGTAGGATCGAAAACCAATTATTAATTGAATATAAATACCATCTGGGGGAACTATTAGACTCCTGATTCTCCTCCTCGTCATTACCTTACCCCAATTTCTGCAGAAGATGAGATGTTTATTCCCTGGAGAACTTGAACCGAGAAGGTCTGGGTTCGGGGATAGCAGTCAGATAAAAACATGGAGGCGAGGAGATATCCTAAAAACAGAGGGATTAAATCAAAGTGTGCAGGCTGGGCATGGTGGCTCACACCTGTAATCCCAGCACCTTGGGAGGCTGAGGCGGGTGGATCATCTGAGGTCAGGAGTTTGAGACAAGCCTGGCTAACATGACGAAACCCCACCTCTACTAAAAATACAAAATTAACTGGATGTGATGGCTCATGCCTGTAGTTCCAGCACTTTGGAGGCTGAGGTGGGTGGATCACAGGGTAAGGAGTTCGAGACCAGCCTGGCCAAGATGATGAAACCCCATCTCTACTACAAATACAAAAATTAGCTCAGGGTGGTGGCAGGCGCCTGTAATCCCAGATACTCTGGAGGCTGAGGCAGGAGAATCACTTGAACCCAGGAGGTGGAGGTTGCAGGAAGCCAAGATTGTGCCACTGCACTCCAGCCTGGGCAACAGAGTAAAAAAAAGGAAGTGTGTAGCTAAAATCACTCTTAATGTATTTCAAATAATCCTGTGGTTGGGTAGTAGTATTAGTATCATTATTCTGTATTATTAATATTGTTGTTGGTATTGTTATTCTCTCTCTTTTTTTTTTGAGATGGAGTCTTGCTCTGTCGCCTAGGCTGGAGTGCACTGGTGTGATCTCAGCTTGCTGCAACCTCTGCCTCCCCGCTTCATGTGATTTTCCTGCCTTAGCCATCTGAGTAGCTAGGATTACAGACACACACTACCACACCCAGCTAATTTTGGTATTTTTAGTAGAGATGGGGTTTTGCCATGTTGGCCAGGCTGGTCTTGAACTCCTGACCTCAAGTGATATACCCACCTCAGCCTCTCAAACTGTTGGGATTACAGGTGTGAGCCACTATGCCTGGGCAGGTATTGTTATTCTTTTATTGGTATTGTTATTTAGGACCATGCTAAATGTATATTTTAGGATAAAGCAAATAACAAATTATGTTGGGGTTGTTGAGAACCAAGCTTTATGGTGTGACAAGAGATACATACATAAGATGAACATGGTTAAGTGAAACCTCTGTAGTATTAATTTTAATTGGAAACATCAGTATGATGGATTTTATCTTGAAAGAATACGTATTTCTGACCGGGCACAGTGGCTCATGCCTGTAATCCCAGCACTTTGGGAAGCCAAGGGGGGGTGGATCACTTGAGGTCAGGAGATCGAGACCAGCCTGGCCAACATTGTGAAAACCCGTCTCTACTAAAAATGCAGAAATTAGCTGGGTGTTGTGGCATGTGCCTATAGTCCCAGCTAGTTAGGAGGCTGAGGCAGGTGAATCGCTTGAACCCAGGAGGTGGAGGTTGCAGTCATCTGAGATGATGCCACTGCACTCCAGCCTGGGTGACAGAGCAAGACTACATCTCAGAAAAAGAAAAAAAAAAAAAGCTGGGCATGGTGGCTCACACCTGCAATCCCAGCACTTTGAGAGGCCAAGGCAGGTGCATCACCTGAGGTCAGGAGTTTGAGACCAGCCTGACCAACATGGTGAAACCCTGTCTCTACTAAAAATACAAAATTAGCTGGGCGAGGTGGTATGTGCCTGTGATCCCAGCTACTCAGGGAGATGAGGCAGGAGAATCACTTGAACCGGGGAGGTGGAGGTTGCAGTGAGCCAAGATCATGCCACTGCACTCCAGCCTGGACAACAAGAGTGAAACTCTATCTCAAAAAAAAAAAAAGGAAGGAAAAGAAGAAGAATTTACTATTAGACTGTAGCCAGTAAAAGGTAAGTGAAAGAGGAACTATCTGGAAAGAATGAACACATGTTTACAACACAGAAACAGTAGTGGGGGGAGGGGAGAGCAGGTCCTCAGTGGGATCAGGAAGCCAGCTCACTTTCATTTTTTGAAGCTCCTTATATACAGAAGAATAAACTATTTGTTCATTTCACATTTGACAAATACTTACAGCGCCCCAAGATTAAAATGCAATGTAGATGTGTGTTATCGGGTGATTGGATTTCTTAAAAGCCAGTAAATGAAACTGCAAGTGGAAACCACCATACACACCTATCAGAATCACTAAAAACAGAAACAAAACATAGCTGACCATCCCAAGTGCCTGTGAGCATGGGAAACTGGGAGTCTCGTACATTGTTAGTGGGAACAAAAATAGGCAGTCACTTTGGAAAAAGTTGGACAGTATCTTATACATTTAAACACATATTGACCATACAACCCAGAAATCTCACTCCTAGGTAAGTATATAAGAGAAATGAATTATTTTTAATCACCAAAAACCTAGAAAAATCCAAATTCCTTCAACTGATGAATGGATGGATAAATTGCAGAAGAGCCATTTTTGGAACATTTGTCACCAACAAAAAGAATGGACTGGGCCAGGCACAGTGTTGTAATGCCAGCACTTTGGGAGGCTGAGGCAGGAGGATCATTTGAGGCAGGAGTTTGAGACCAGCCTGGGCAACATAGTGAAACCCTATCTCTACAAAAAATAAAAACGAACTGAAAGAAATCTTTGCATTTATGGCTAAAGGCCATAATTCAACAAGCATGCCAAGACTACAAAATAGAGAAAGAAGAGTCCCTTCAACAAATGGTGCTGGGAAAGCTGGAAATCCACATGCAGAAAAATGAAGCCAGATCCTTACTTTATACCAGATACAGAAATGAATCCAAAATGGATTACAGACCTAAATGTAAGACCTCAGACTATTAAACTCCTGGAAGAAAACATAAGTGAAAAGCTTCAGGACATTAGATTTGGCAATGATTTCTTGGCTAAGAAACCAAAAGCACAGATGACAAAAGAAAAAATAGACAAATGGAACCATATCAGAGTAAAAACTTGTACAAATCAAAGGAAAAAATCAACAGAGTGAAAGGCAACCCAATGGAATAGGAGAAAATATCTGTAAATCATATATCTGATAAAAGGATAATTTCCAGAATATATATGGAATTCCTACAACTGAACAATCAATGACAATAAACAACCCAATTTAAAAATGGGCAACTGGGCTGGGCACAGTGGCTCACGACTGTAATCTCAGCACTTCGGGAGGCCGAGGTGGGCTGATCACTTGAGGTCAGGAGTTTGAGACCAGCCTGACCAATATGGAGAAATCCTGTCTTTACTAAAAATACAAAATCAGCTGAGCATGGTCGTACATGCTTGTAATCCCAGCTAGTCGGGAGGCTGAGGCAGAATAATTGCTTGAACCCAGGAACTGGAGGTTGTGGTGAGTCAAGATCACGCCATTGCACTCCAGCCTGAGCCACAAGAGTGAAACCATCTAAAAAAGAAAAAATGGGCAACTGAGTTGATAGACATTTCTACAAAGAAGATATACCAATGGCCAACAAACACACAAAGAGATTCACAACATCACTAAGCATTAGGGAAACCAACACCATGAGACATCAACTTATACCCATTAGGATGATAATTATGAAAAGAACAGAAAATAATAAGTGTTGCCAAGGATTCGGAGAAGTTGGGACACTTACACACTGTTGTTGGGAAAGTAAAATGATACAGCCATTATGGAAAACAACCAATTTTTTTACTTTTATAGAGACGGGGTCTTGCCAGTGGCCCAAGCTGGCTTATGAACTCCTGGCCTCAAGTGAATTTCCCACCTCTGTCTCTAAAAGTGCTGGGATTACAAGCATGAGCCCCCTCACCTACATGCTCTACATCTTGATTGTGGTTGTGGTTAACATAACTGTATGTGTTTGTTAAAACTCATAAAATTAGGCTGGGCACAGTGGCTCATGCCTGTAATCCCAGCACTTTGGGAGGCCTAGGCAGGTGGATCACTTGAGGTCAGGAGTTCAAGACTAACCTGACCAACATGGTGAAACCCCATCTCTACTAAAAATACCAAAAAAAAAAAAAAAAAAAAATTAGCTGGGCATGGTGGTGCATGCCTGTAATTCTAGCTACTTGGGAGGCTGAGGCAGGAGAATCACTTGAATCTGGGAAGCGGAAGTTGCAGTGAGCCACAATCATGCCATTGCACTCCAGTCTGGGCAACAAGAGCGAAAGTTAAAAAAAAAAATCTTATAAAATTGAGCTAGGACTATAGGCACACACCTGTAGTCCTAGCTACTCTAGAGACTTAAGTGGTAGGATCCCTTAAGCTCAGGAGTTCAAGGCTGCAGTGAGCTATGATCACACCACTTTATTCCAGCCTGGGCAACAGAGTGAGACTCTTTTAACCCAAAAGTTAAAAAAAAAGGAAAAATATTCATAGACTTGCACATCAAAAAAACCTGTACCCTGATGGTAAGAAAAACCTTACATTAAAATTATTACACAAAAAAGTATACTGCATACAAATTATCCCTCTATAAACCTAAGAAAAAAGAAATGTGGAGCAAGTATGGCAAAATGTCAATTTCTGAATAATCTTGGAGGAGTACACAGTGGCCACCTTTTCTGTGCCTTTCATCCTGTTTGGAAAATTTCAATCTGAAAAGAATAAAAACAAAAATAATTTTTTTTTTTTTTGAAGGAAAATTTTCATTGTTTTATTTTTATTTACAGTGTAAATTTAACCCAGTTTCGTGGCAAGCTCTTTAGCTTTTGCCTTCTCTAGCTTTGCAATGCGAGCCACAGACTTGGGACCCAGGACATTGCCTCCCCAGTGACGGCGGATCTCATCGTATCTGTCATTGTAATTGGTGCGGATGGCTTCCACCAGCTTAGCCAAGGCACCTTTGTCTTCCGCGTTAACCTGTGTGAAGGCGACGGTAGTGCAGGTCTTCCTGTGGACTAGACGTCCCAGTCTTGCCTTCCCCTTGATAATGCAGTAAGGGACTCCCATTTTTCGACACAGGGCAGGCAAGAAGACAACCAGCTCAATGGGATCCACGTCGTGTGCAATCACCACCAGCTGAGCTTTCTTGTTCTCCACCAAGGTGGTGATTGTGTTGACTCCTGCTCGAAGGACAGGTGGTCTCTTAGTGGGGACGTCCCCTTTGCCAGCCGCTTTCTTCTCGGCCCGGGCCAACAGCCTCTGCTTCTTCTCTTGCTTTGTCTCTGGTCTATACTTGTGGGTCAGCTTAAGCAGTTGAGTAGCTGTTTGGCGGTCCAGGGCCTGGGTGAACTGGTTAATTGCAGGAGGCACTTTCAGCCGCTTGTAGAGGATGGCTCTCTGCCGCTGCAACCTGATATAGCGGGGCCATTTGACAAAGCGGGTGAGGTCTCTTTTGGGCTGGATGTCCTGTCCAATACCAAAATTTTTAGGCCGTTTTTCAAACAGGGGATTTACCACTTTCTTAGCCTCCTGCTTCTTCACGACAGCAGGGGCCGGAGCCACCTTCTTCCCCTTGGCCTTCTTTCCTTTCGGCATCTTGAGCAGCAGAAAGAAAGAGCCAAAAATAATTTTTTAGAAAGCCGAGATTATTCGAAATACAGCCTGGTTCAATAATAGGATGCAAAGTTAAAACTGTATAGTAAACTGGGCGTGGTGATTCATGCCTGTAATCCCAGCACTTTGGGAAGCTGAAGCAGGTGGATCACTGGCGATCAGGAGTTTGAGATGAGCCTGGCCAATGTGGTGAAACCCCCTCTCTACTAAAAATACAAAAATTAGCCAGGTGAGGTGGCGGACACCTGTAATCCCAGCTACTGGGGAGGCTGAGGCAAGAGAATCCCTTGAACCCAGAAGGTGGAGGTTGCAGTGAGCTGAGATTGGGCCACTGCACTCCAGCCTGGACAAACGAGTGAGATTTCATCTCAAAAAAAAGAAAAGAAAAGAGAAGGAAAGAAAAGAAAAAAACTCTTAAAAAAAAAAAAAAGGTATGGTAAACAAGGAATTTTTATTTCATTCCTGTCAGTGAATGTCTGTGACTGTATGTATTACTTTGTTTTAGAAAAGGTCAAATGCAAATGTGAGACCTTTCAAGAATGTGAAGTCTGCTCAAATAGCCTTTTGTCCCTTAACGTTTCAGAAAACACTTAAAGAACAAGAATAGTACTTAGTAGTTTATGAGGTATGTGGGGAGGGGGAGAATGAGAGCAGTTGGATTATTTTCTTCTGAGTGTTGATCTGGAAATCAATTACCCGACTGGTTACTTCAGTCCAAATCGTACAGCCAATCCTCCATCTTCACACATTCTTGACCCCTTTGTAGCTCTAAAGTAACCCCTTTAGGAAGCTTGATGACTCTGCCTCCTCATTTGTGAAATGTTTGGGTGAGATGAATAAAAATAGACATACTAATCACTAGAAAAAAATTGATCCTTCTTTTTCTCTCTCTCACTATGTTGCCCAGGCCAGAGTGCAGTGGTGTGATCATAGCTCACTGCAGCCTTGACCTCCTGGCCTCAAATGATCCTCCCACCTTAGTTAGCCTCCAGAGTAACTGCGACTACAGGCATGTGCCACCGTGCCCAGTTACTTTATCTTTTATCTTTTTTTTTTGGAAAGGTCTCACATATTTATTACTGAACCCAGCCAACCAAAGCCTTCTTCTTTTTTTTTTTTTTTTAACATGAATAATGGAAGCACTGTGGGTTGTACCAACTAATGCCTTCTTAACAGATCCAGAGAGAAAACTCTGTTCACACTTCTCCAGATAGCAGTGACATTTTTCAGCTTGATTTGGTAAAATGATTGTGACCTTCAGACAGTATAAATATGTGTGCCATCTCATGTGTAATTTCTTATAGACCCAGCTTAGCTCTTCTCCAATGTCTCCTTTTGGAGTTGTACCTGATTTTATCACCAGCTTTCATCCGAATCCACTGGGGAATGGGATGATTTTGCTTTTGTTTCTTGGCCAGGAATCACTTAATCCTGAAAGTCTTGTGAGAAGATATGGCGAGAAATGGAGTAAAGCACTCACCAGGATGGCGGAGAAAGGAAGAGAGGGCTTTTATTTTTATTTATTTATTTTTTTGAGATGAAGTCTCACTCTTGTTGCCCAGGCTGGAGTGCAATGGCACGATCTGGGCTCACAGCAACCTCCACCTCCCGGGTTCAAGCGATTCTCCTGCCTCAGCCTCCTGAATAGCTGAGATTACAGGCATGCAACACCATGCCCAGCTAATTTTGTATTTTTAGTAGAGACAGGGTTTCTCCATGTTGGACAGGCTGGTCTCAAACTCCCAACCTCAGGTGATCCGCCTGCCTCAACCTCCTGCCCTCAGGTGATCCACCTGCCTCGACTTCTTAAAGTGCTGGGATTACATGCATGAGCCACCGCACCTGGCCTTATCATTTATTTTTTCTAGAAATGAGGTCTCACTATGTTCCCATGCTGGTCTCCAACTCCTGACCTCAGCCATCCTCCCACCTCAACCTCCCAAAGTGCTCGGATTACAGGCGTGAGTCATCATACCTGGCCAGATACTGAATTTTAAACACATTAGAAGCCATGACTTCAGCATAACAGCAACAAGAATAGTAACCAAGTCATCTCAAACCACACCAAAGAGCAAGACAGAGTGGCTGACACTACCTTGTAAAGTCAGCCTTAGTTTTCTTCCCTACTTACATCCTCCTTCTATCTTTGATTTTGTGTTTTTTCAGGCTCCTAATATGTGGCAGCTTCTCGGCACAGAATTCTTACAAGCTGAATTGTCTTGATCTTCCCAACGTCAGCACACACTATAAAGAACTGTGAATGCCAATAATCCTGGAGAAACAGATGGATATTTAAAATCACACACATTTATGCACAAACCAAATGTTAAGGTTTGGGGCACAATATGGAACTCGATCTTAGCCATTTTGTGTCCTTCCATCCTAATGAGGGAACCTGCTAAGGCCAGGGGCAAACAGAAGGGAGAAAGGGTGCTCTGGGTTGAAAGATGAAAACAGGCTAGCAGAAATTAGTCATCTGTGAAATGAAAAGTTCTAATGCTCCTAAGCTTTGCAAAATGTCTCTGGGTAGGTACAATCCTCACTCAGAGTCAAATGTCATAAAATTACTTTGGAGTCATCTATCATGTGTTTGTTTGAGACTGGACAAAAGAGGTAAACCATATCATGAAATCATGGGATATCAGACTTGAAGAGGACCTCAGAGGTCCCATAACCATAAAGACAAAAATTATAAGACTGGATAGTAGTGGTGGTTCACATCTGTAATCCCAGCACTTTGGGAGGCTGAAGTGGGTGGATCACTTGAGGTCAGGAGTTCAAGAACAGCCTGGCCAATATGATGAAACCCCATCTCTACTAAAAATACAAAAGTTAGCCAGGCCTGGTGATGAATGCCTGTAATCCCCACTACTCGGGAGGCTGAGGTAGGAGAATTGCTTGAACCAGGGAGGCGGAGGTTGCAGTGGGCTGAGATTGTGCCACTGCACTCCAGCCTCCTGGGTGACAGAGCGAGACTGTCTCAAAAAAAAAAAAAAAAATTATAAAGCTGAAGGATGATTTGTCAAAATTTAATCCAGCAACCTAAAATTTCAAAACAGAAAATAGTACAAAATGATTCACAGGATTAAGGAATAGGAAAGAAAGTAGAGGCCTGGAAGTAAAGAGAAGGCTTAAAAGGGAAAACAAACATTCCTGGCCTTTAGAAGTTATGAGATGGAGGTTTGGAAAATATACTTTTGGCTGTTTTTCTTTCTTTTTTTTTTTTTGAGACAGTCTTGTTCTGTTGCCAGGCTGGAGTGCAGTGGCGAGATCTTGGCTCACTGCAACCTCCGCCTCCACGGTTCAGGTGATTCTCCTGCCTCAGCCTCCCAAGTAGCTGGGACTATGGGCGCGGAACACCAGGCCTGCCCAATTTTTGTATTTTTAGTACAAAAATATTGGCCAGGATGGTCTTGATCTCTTGACTTCGTGATCTGCCCGCCTTGGCCTCCCAAAGAGCTGGGATTGCAGGCATGAGCTACTGTGTCCAGCTTATTTTTGTTTTTAAAAAGGGGAAGCATTTCATCAGTTATTAAAAGCAGTCCAGAGTTTCAGTCAGATGCTAAAGCAATCCTTTGCAGAAAAAAGGGAAATATCTGTCTTACACATTTGAGTGATTCAATTATATTTTTATACACTGTCTCTGGAATGCCACAGGAAGGTGCTAAAGATATCACTTTGATTATTCAGTTTTGCTAAATACATTTAATAAACTAGATATATACTATTTGGCATTCTATATATATACATATATCTATCCATCTATCTATAGATATCTATCTATAGATAGATAGATATATACTGTTTGGCATTCTTCTGAATTGATAAATACATTTCTTGAATAAATACTGTGCTATGTTTAAGGTTTTTTTGTTTTTGAGTGCAGTGGCACGATCATGGCTTAGTGCAGCCTCAACTGCTCTGGGCTCAGGTGGTCCTTTCACCTCAGCCTCCTGAGTAGCTGGGACTACAGGCACCTGGCTAATTTTTGTATCTTTTGTAGAGATGTGGTTTCACCGTGTTGCTCTGGCTGGTCTCAACTCCTGGCCTCAAGTGACCCTCTCGCTGTGGCCTCCCAAAGAGCTGGGATTGTAGGCATGAGCCACCACACCAGGTCTAACAATTTTTTTTTTTTTTTTGAGACGGAATCTCACTCTGTTGCCCCGGCTGGAGTGCAGTAGCATGATCTTGGCTCACTGCAACCCAGGTTCAAGCAGTTCTCCTACCCCAGCCTCCCAAGTAGCTGGGATTACAGGTGTGCACCACCACGCACACCTGCCAGAAACTGACTAGCCTGATCAAAATGGTGAGACCCCCCCTCTACAAAAATAAAAAAAATACAGTGTTCATTTGTCCCCTTTATCACAATACAGCAAACAGAAGTTATCTAATGACCTTGTGAGATGCAGCTAACACAAAAAAGGTGAAGCCAGTCTTGACAGAGTCAGGGATAGAGAGAATTCAGGGACAATGATCTGACAGATCCCTATGCTCCTTCAAAACACCCACATTAGTGGCCGGACAGTGCTTCCCAAATTTCCGTCCAGTTCATCTACTTGTGTCAGGACGTTTGTTAAAAATATTTATTCCTCAGCTGGGCACCATGGCTCATGCCTGTAATCCCAGCACTTTGGGAGGCTGAGGCAGGCAGATCACCTGAGGTTGGGAATTTTGAGACCAGCCTGACCAACATGGAAAAAACCCTGTCTCTACTAAAAATACAAAATTAGTTGGGCATGGGGCACATGCCTGTAATCTCAGCTACTTGGGAGGCTGAGGCAGGAGAATCGCTTGAACCAGGGAGGCAGAGGTTGTGGAGAGCTAAGATTGCACCATTGCACTCCATCCTGGGCAACAAGGGTGAAAATATATATACATTTATTCCTGGTTGAAAGTGGTGGCTCATGCCTATAATCCCAGCTACTCAGGACTCAGGAAGCGGAAGCAGGTGGATCACTTGAGCATAGGAGTTTGAGACCAGCCCTGGGCGATGGAGGGAGACCTCATCTCCATAAAAAAATAGAAAAATTAGCTGGGTGTGGTGGCACATGCTACTCAGGAGGCTGAGGTGGGAGGATTGTTTGAGCCCCAGAGGTCGAGGCTGGAGCGAGCCGAGATTGCACCACTGCACTCCAGCCTGGGCGACAGAGAGAGACCCTGTCTCAAAAAAATCCCCCAAACTGGGGTACTGGGTCCTGCCTTAGACTTACTGATTCCAAATCTCATGAGGTGGTACCTGGAAATCCTCTCTTTTTTTTTTTTGGTTGAGACAGTCTCAGTCTGTTGCCTACGCTGGAGTGCAGTGGCACCCTCTTGGCTCACTGTAGCCTCCACATCCCGGGTTCAAGCAATTCTTCTGCCTTAGTTTACCCAGTAGCTGGGACTACAAAAAATCCGCATTTTTTTTTTTTTTTTTTTGAGACGGAGTCTCGCTCTGTATTTTTGTATTTTTAGTAGAGCCGGGTTTCTCTATATTGGTCAGGCTGGTCTGGAGTGCAGTGGTATGATCTCGGCACACTGCAACCTCAGTCTCCCGAGTTCAAGCGATTCTCCTGTTTCAGCCTCCTGAATAGCTGAGATTACAGACATGCACCACCATGCCCAGCTAATTTTTTTGTATTTTTAGTAGAGACCGTGTTTCATCATGTTGGCCAGGATGATCTCGATCTCTTGACCTCGTGATCTGCACGCCTTAGCCTCCCAAAGTGCTGGGATTACAGGCGTGAGTCATCGCGCCCGGCCAAAATCCGCATTTTTTAAGGAAGCGCCGTAGACCCATTGGAAACTACACATGGGGTTTACACGCCCCTCGTTTCCGCCAGCCTCACACTCGCCAGACTCACGCTCGCCCCCGGTGCCTGCCCAGGCTGCCTCACCCAGGCTCCGCCCTCCGGCCTCATCCGGGCTCCGCCCCCGGGCTCCGCCCCCTGCCTCGCCCAGGTTCCTCCCCCGCTCGTTTCCGGCTGCTTCTCGCGGCTTTGAGAGCTCCTTCCCGTGATGCCCGCGCCTGGCTGTCGCGGTTGCCCGGCAACGCGGGGTGCCTGGAGCTGGCCTAGCTGGAACCCGCTGGGAGATGAGGCCGCGAGGTGTCCCGCTGCTTCTGGTGGTGCTCCTGGGCTTCTGGGCTTCCGTGAGCTCCCAGACCGAGGCCACCCCGGCGGTGGCGACAGAGGACCTCAACTCCACGGAGGCAGCCCTGGTCACTTTCGGACCTTCCCAGTCGACCAGGCCCGTGGGGACCCCCAGGGCTCCAGGGCCTACCTCGGGCCCCAGGCCTACCCCGGTCACGGACGGTGGGTACCTTGTGCCAGCTCCTGGGGTCCACAGTGATCCAACCTGAACAGGGGAGCCCGGGTGAGGACGTAATAATAATATAATGATAATGATAGCTAACGCTTATTGAGCACTTAATGTGTGCAGAGGCTGCTGAGAGTTCCATAAACGTCAGTTCTCTAAACAATAACCCTGAGAGGTAGAGGTTACTATCACTGTCATGTAAATGAGAAAACCGGGTCTCAGAGAGTAAGTGGGACGGCATCAAATCTTTGAAAATGCTTGAAGTGGTCCCAGACAAGAGTAATGCAAAAAGTGATAATGAATTCTTGCAGCCTGAGACGAAATTAAATCGTTTCTAGACAACGGTGGAAATTAGTGCCTGGGCTGCATTGAACTTTCATTTATTTAGAGATGCCAAAGGTCTAACATACTAAATGTGACTAAGTTAAGACTCTTGTCTGTTGACCTGAATTCTAAAAACCCAGGATTCCTCTTGTGTTGCATTGGAGGTGGGAAGGTATGGAGGGAGGGGTTATGTTCACCTCTTAGGATTCTTATTTAGGAATAATTAACATTTTTTTCAGAAAATGATTGTCTAATACTAGAATTACACATTTAGGTTGCTCACGCCTGTGATCGCAGCACTTTGGGAGGCCAAGGCAGGTGGATTGCTTGAGGTCAGGAGTTTGAGATCAGTCTGGTCACCATGGCAAAAATGGAAAAATTAGCTGGGCATGGTGGTGCATGCCTGTAATTCCAGCTACTCAGGAGGCTGAGTCGGGAGAATCTCTTGAACCCAGGAGGTGGCGGTTGCAGTCATTACCACTGCACTCAGAGATGGAGTGACAGAACAAGACTGTCAGAAAAAAAAAAGACATGGATAACTTCAGAGAATGTGACCCCATAAGATTGAGCGCAAAACTTTGTGAATATGCCTTTTCCTGAGATGAGAGTTCATAGCCGATTCTCCAAGTGGTTCATGATCTCAAATTTTTTTAAAAAAATTTTCTGTTAGTGTGAATTGAGAGTAACTCCAGTAGATATACAATACTTTTAATCTTTTTTAAAATCTTTTTTTTTTTTTGAGACAAGGTCTTGCTTTGTTACCCAGGCTGGAGTGCAGTGGCATGATCATATTTCCTTAGTCTCAATCTACTGGGTTCAAGGGATCTTTCTGCCTCATCCACCAGAGTAGCTGGAACCACAGGTGAACGCCCTCAGCTTGCTAATTTTTTGAATTTTAGTAGAGATGAGGGCTCGCTATGTTGTTCAGGCTGATCTCAGACTCCTGGGCTTAACTGATCCTCCCACCTTGGCTTTCCTAAATGCTGGGATTACAGGTGTGAGCCACTATGCCTGGCCTATCCCTTCTTAAGACCTTTTCCACTGGTGGCGGTGGCTCACACCTGTAATCCCAACACTTTGGGAGGTTGAGGTGAGCAATCACGAGGTTTGATCATGACCATCCTGGCCATACAAAAATTAGGCATGGTGGCATGCATCTGTAGTCCCAGCTACTCAGGAGTATGAGGCAGGAGAATCTCTTGAACCTGGGAGGTGGAGTTTGCAGGGAGCCGAGATCATGCCACTGCACTCCAGCCTGGAGACAGAGCAAGACTTTGTCTCAAAAAAAAAAATCTTTCCTCAAATTGATTTAGACTCAGTATTAGTTAAAAAGTTATCGTTGGCTGACACCCTGAACTCTAGGACTTCAGTTACTGAACCCTGATTTCTCCAGAAGTATTCTCCTGTCGCTCTCTTTTTTTTTTTTTGAGGCGGAGTCTCGTTCTGTCACCCAGACCTGAGTACAATGACATGATCTTGGCTCACTGCAATCTCTACTTCCCTGGTCAGGCAATTCCCCTGCCTCAGCCTCCCGAGTAGCTGGGATTACAGGTGTATGCCATCATGACTGGCTAACTTTTTTTGTATTTTAGTAGAGATGGGGTTTCATCATGTTGGCCAGACTGGTCTCAATCTCCTGACCTCATGATCCACCCGCCTCAGCCTTCCAAAGTGCTGGGATTACAGGCATGAGCCACCTCGCTTAGCTGTGTTTTATGTTTAAATTGTTGATTTGATGAATTAGTTGGGAAGTTAAATTAGTGATAAACTGGGACAGAATAAAGCCAAGTATTCCATGCCTGAAATTCTCTAAGGTTTTGGACTGGATTGTCTTTTGTTCATGTAAGTACTCCATCTGTTAATGCATTTTCTCTCCAAAATAAAGCTATGCTTGACATATCATTATTTTAGCATGCGTTCAAGGCTGTTTTTCCTGTATAGGGGATGAATTTGTAGTTGTCCTTACACTTTTAATTTTTTTGGATACAGGGTCTTCGTTACTCAGGCTGGAGTGTAGTGACATGATTACAGCTCACTGCAGCCTTGACCTCCTAGGCTCAAGTGATCTTCCCACCTCAGACTGCCAGGTAGCTGAAACTACAGGTGCACGCCACCAGGCCTGGCTAATTTTTTGTAGAGATGGGGTTTTGCCTTGTTGTCCAGGCTGGTCTCAAACTCCTGGTCTCAAGTGATTGCCTGCCTCAGCCTCCCAGAATGCTGGGATTACAGGCATGAGCCACTGCACTCTGCCTGTCTTCACTTTCTAAAAAGACTCCTCTTTAGACTTGTGACAGTAATAATAACTCATTTGTTAACTGTTTACTCTGTGTCAGGCACTGTGCTAAGCATTTCACCTGTGATGTATTTCATTGAATCTTACAACGACCCCATGATGAGGGTACTGTTATCTCCATTTTTCAGGTGGGTAAATTATTTGCCTAATTTTAGGACACAACTTGTAGATATTGGAGCAGGAGGCTGACTAAGTGGAGAACTGGGTGGAAAATTGCAGATGGCTTGAAGGCAGTGTTGATGGAGAAGAGTGATAATCCTTAACTTGAGTCTGGGCTCTTTCATTAGTACCTTGCTCTACAAGGCACCTGTGCAGACGCACTAGGAGACAAGAGCAGCTGAGTGCTGCTTAGACCTGACAAGGGCTCAACAGCTACTTGTTGGATGATTAAGTCCACTCACATACGGGGTAGGGACCTCCTTTTTCCCAAGTGGTGTTATTAAACACTATTGCTTTGTCCTTCATCATCTTACAGCTACCTACAAGGGCTTTAAGTTTTGAAAACAAAGCAAGATAGTAATTTTCAACATAGAGGGAACCTAAAGCACATTTTATTTATTTATTTTTTGAGACCAAGTCTCACTTTGTCAACCGGGCTGGAGTGTAGTGGTGCGATCTCGGCTCACTGCAAACAAACTCCACCTCTCTGGGTTCAAGCGATTCTCCTGCATCAGCCTCCCAAATAGCTGGGACTACAGGCGTGTACCACCACGCCCAGCTAGATTTTTGTATTTTTAGTAGATACGGGTTGTACTGTGTTAGCCAGGATTGTCTCTGTCTCCTTACCTCGTGATCTGCCCGCCTTGGCCTCCTAAAGTGCTGGGATTATAGGCGTGAACCAAGGTGCCCAGCCCCACTTTTTTTTTTTTTTTTTTGAGACGGAGTTTCGCTCCTTACCCAGGCTGGAGTGCAATGGCACGATCTCGGCTCACCACAACCTCCGCCTCCTGGGTTCAGGCAATTCTCCTGCCTCAGCCTCCTGAGTAGCTGGGATTACAGGCATGCGCCACCGTGCCCAGCTGACTTTTGTATTTTTAGTAGAGACGGGGTTTCACCATGTTGACCAGGATGGTCTCGATCTCTTGACCTCGTGATCCACCCGCCTCGGCCTCCCAAAGTGCTGGGATTACAGGCGTGAGCCACCGCACCCAGCCCCCCACTTTTTTTTATATTAGCATGCATAACTTGTATCATTTTACTAAGCACATAGGAGAGTTCTCTACTAGAGAGAAGTACTGTAAACTTTAGGGGGAAAACGTTTGTGTCTTAGACTAAAAAATTATTGCATATTAACAAAGCCTTCCCCTTTACCTCACACACTTTTTTCCAGAGTATATTATACCTTTTGTGGGGTAGTTTTTTTTTTTTTTTTTTTGAGGGAGGCAGAGCCTTACTCTGTTGCCCAGGCTGGAGTGCAGTGGCAGAATCTCAGCTCTTGGAGATTGAGATTCTGCCAAGAGAATCTGGCAACCTCCACCTCCTGGGTTCAATCAGTTCTCCTTCCTCAGCTAATTTTTTTTTTTTTTTGTATTTTTAGTAGAGATGGGGTTTCGCCATGTTGGCCAGGCTGGTCTTGAACTCCTGACCTCAGGTGATCCATGCTTCTCAGCCTTCCAAAGTGCTAGGATTACAGGCGTGAACTATAGGGTACATTTTTCTAAAGCTCCTTTTTATTGTGAAATAATTCATATGTACAAATAAGAATGTTGGGTGGACACTAGCAGCATTTGCTTCAGATTCCTTTTTCATTATTGTTTTTTGGCTTGAAATTTTTTTTTTTCTTCTTTTCTTTTTTTTTTTTTTTTGGGGTATTATGACGTCTCGCTCTGTCTTCCAGGCTGGAATGCAGTAGTGGGATCTTGGTTTACTGCAACTTCTGCCTTCTGGGTTCAAGCAATTTCTCCTGCCTCAGCCTCCCTGAGTAGCTTGGATTACAGGCACCCATCACCATGCCTAGCTAATTTTTGTATTTTTTTTTTTTTTTTTTTGAGATGGAGTTACGCTTTTGTTACCCAGGCTGGAGTGCAATGGTGTGATCTCGGCTCACTGCAACCTCCGCCTCCTGAGTTCAGGCAATTCTCCTGCCTCAGCTTCCTGAGTAGCTGGGATTACAGGCATGCGCCACTATGCCCAGATAATTTTTTGTATTTTTAGTAGAGACGGAGTTTCACCCTGTTGACCTGGACGGTCTCGATCTCTTGACCTCGTGATCCACCTGACTCGGCCTCCCAAAGTGCTGGGATTACAGGCTTGAGCCACCGCGCCCGGCCCATTTTTGTATTTTTAATAGAGACAGGGTTTCACCGTGTTGACTAGGGTGGTCTCGAAGTCCTGACCCCAAGTCATCCACCTGCCTTCCAAAGTGCTGGGATTACAGGTGTGAATCACAGTGCCTGGCCTTGAAATCTTCTTTTGAAAAAGAAAGCATTACAGGTAAAATTGAAGGTTGATGTTATTTCTTCCCTTTCAGCAATAATCAAATCATAAATTTATTCTCTGCTATTTCTTTAAAAGGGTTTTCTTTTCCTTACTTGACAGAAAAAAAATTAAAAAATCCGTATAATCATCTTTGTTAGAAAGCAGCAAAGAAAAATCTTTATTAATAATTAAAAGTTGGCCAAGATCAGTGGCTCATGCTTGTAATTCTAGCACTTTGGGAGGATAAGGCTGGCAGATCACTTGAGGTCAGGAGTTCAAGACCAGCCTGGCCAACATGGTGAACCCTGTCTCTACAAAAAAAATTAGCTGTGCGTGGTGGTGCATGCCTGTAATCCTAGCTACTCAGGAGGCTGAGGTAGGAGAATCACTTGAATCCAGGAGGCAGAGGTTGCAGTGAGCCAGTATCAGGCCATTACACTCCAGCCTGGGCGACAAGAGCTGAAACTCTGTCTCAAAAATAAATAAATAAATAAATAAAAAAGGCCAGGTACAGTGGCTTATGCCTGTAATCCCAGCACTTTGGGAAGCCGAGGTGGACAAATCTTGAGGTCAGGAGATTGAGACCATCCTGGCTAACATGGTGAAAACTTGTCTCTACTAAAATACAAAAAATTAGCTGGGCACGGTGGCACACGCCTGTAATCCCAGCTACCTGGGAGGCTGCGGTAGGAAAAATGCTTGAACCTGGGAGGCGGAGGTTGCAGTGAGCTGAGATTGCACCACTGCACTCTAGCCTGGGTGACAGAGCGAGGCTCCGTCTAAAATATATATATATATATTAATAAAATACTTAAAAGTTGCGAAGTGGGGAGATTCCTACCCTGCCTTTATTGTCTAAATCACCAAAGACATTCTAAGCACCTGAGCCAATTTGATTCTTGGCCAAGGGTCTATGAATATCAGTTCAGCTTCAGAGCAGCAGGTTATAGATGAAGAGAGGGGCAAGGTTGAAAAACCTCTTTCCAGAAGGTTTAAGTGGGCTCTTCCTCTGAATTGTAATCTCCAGAGGAGGGATTTAAGGACTTTGCAGTTTTAAACTGGTGGTTCTTCTGGTCAGGCAAATGGTTTAGGCATGCTGGTTCTTAAACTTGTCTAATTATCAGCATCACTTGGAAAGTTTCTGAAAATTGCAAATGCCTGTGTTTCATATTTAGCTTACCAAATCAGCATCTCTGTAGGTAAAACACTAACAGAACTTTCCAGGCGAGTCAGATCACTAGCCACTTTGGGGAAGCCTCTGATTGTAGGGTGCTCAAACTGACTCATCTCTACTTCACAAATTTCCCCCAAAGGGCAACAGGAAAAATGACCTTTTGTATGAAATTGACTTATGGTACACTGGGGTGGCAGGGGGCAGTCACTGCCTGCTGATGCTCTGGATCCTAACTCTCTTTTTTCTGCAGTTGCTGCTCTGTGTGTCTGTGACTTGTCCCCAGCACAGTGTGATGTCAACTGCTGCTGTGATCCCGACTGCAGCTCTGTGGATTTCAGTGTGTTTTCTGCTTGTTCAGTTCCAGTTGTCACGTAAGTTTACATATAACACATACAATTTTGATGAATTTGACCAGGATAATTCGATTTGGGGAAAGGGAAGACTTTCCCAGGCTGAAAAACTGAAACCTGATTTCCTGTATTTTGCATCATTCCAAAGCCATGCTGTCTAAACTAATATGTAAAAAAAAGTAGCTGTCCCTTATCTGTATTCAGCCAGGTGACTGTGCAGGCAAAAGAGAAGAGAGAATGTACATTAAAAAATGTAATGAAGGCCGGGTATGGTGGCTCACACCTGTAATCCCAGTACTTTGGGAGGTCAAGGTGGACGGATCACGACATCAGGAGTTTGAGGCCAGCCTGACCAACATGGTGAAACCCTTTCTCTACTAAAAATACAAAAATTAGTTGGGCATGGTGACGTGCGCCCAGTTATTCAGGAGGCTGAGGCAAGGGAATTGCTTAAACCCAGGAGGTAGAAGTTGCAGAGAGCCAAGATGTCACCACTGCATTCCAGCCATTCCAGCCTGGGCGACAGAGTGAGACTCTGTCTCAAAAAAAAAAAAAAAAAAAGTAATGAAACCTCTGTTTGGAGATTGAATTACATTTCAGTTTGAATTGTAAACAGACAGTGGTAACATTTTTTGTATCAATGAATTAGTATAGCCTAGGGTAAAAGTGCAGCTTAATTTTACAGTTTTTATTGTGGACATAGTATTTGTAACAAAAAATTAGATAGAAAGCTTTGTTTTTACTTTTCTGATATGTAAATCTACCAGGAATTCTCACAGTTTGCATTGTGTAGAACAATGGAAAATGACATTCCCAGCTGATTATAAGGTAAAGAAATAATCTGTTTTGAATGATCTCTTCTCATGATTGAGATTTCAAGGCTTGTTTTTTTCCTTTTTTTTGACATGGAGTTTTGCTCTTGTTGCCCAGGCTGGGGTGCAATGGGATGATCTTGGATCACTGCAACCTTCTCTTCCTGGCTTCAAGCGATTCTCCTGCCTCAGCCTCCTGAGTAGCTGGGACTATAGGCATGCACCACCATGCCTGGCTAATTTTTTTGTATTTTTAGTAGAGACGGGGTTTCTTCATGTTGGTCAGACTGGTCTCAAACTCCTGACCTCAGGTGATCCGCCCACCTCGGCCTCCCAGAATGCTGGGATTACATACAGGTGTGAGCCACTGCACCCAGAAGACTTTTTTTTTTTTCCGAGAGAGTGTCTTTCTGTGTCCCCAGGCTGGAATGCAGTGGTGCGATTGTGGTTCATTGCAACCTCTGCCTCCCAGGTTCAAGCAATTCTGTCTCAGCCTCCTGAGTAGCTAGGACTACAGGTACATACCACCATGCCTGGCTAATTTTTTCATATTTTTAGTAGAATCGGGTTTTACCATATTGGTTAGGCTGGTCTCAAACTCCTGACCTTAGGTGATCTGTCTGCCTCAGCCTCCCAAAGTGCTGGGATTATAGGCATGAACTAACGCTCCTGGCTTTCAAGGCTTTTTGAAAAACTAGCAGCACTTAGAAGAGGCTTATTAATTCAGTGTGGGACCAACTTAGTATTCAGTGATAGTTAATTAAATTTAGCCTTACAGCAAATTTTAGCAATTGATACTTCATAGGTGAACCCTTTTTAGAAGTACGATGGGTTTTTCCTGTGAGAAACTATTTTATTGACCAACGGGAAATTGAATCTATTTCTAGTATTGTAAAAATGCTCAGCAAACAGGGCATTGTAGTCAGATTAATTTTCTGGCTACCTGGCCTGTAGCATGTTTCGGTGTTTGTTGAAAATCATTGTTTTCCTCCTTTAGTAAATATAGGAGCCTGAAAGTGAGATTTCTGCTCCAACTTGGGGCCATTTTTTTAGAATGTCCTTTTTTTTTTTTAGTTAGCCGATACAGTAACTTAATTTATTTTTAATTATTTAGTTTTTTTAGAGACAGGGTCTCGTGCTGGTCCACTGCTGGAGCTCAGTGGAGTGATCATAGCTCAGTGCAGCCTCAAACTCCTTGGCTCAAGTGCTCCTCCTGCCTTAGACTTCCAACTCACTATGCCTGGCTGATTTTTCTTTTTCTTTTCCCTTTTTTGTGGTATGGATGTGGTCTTGCTATGTAGCTCAGGCTGATTTTCTTGAACTCCTGACCTCAAACAACCCTTCTTTGGCCTCCCAAAGCACTGGGATTACAGACAGGCATGAGCCACCATGCCTGGCCACGTTTTTTTTTTTTAAATTTTGCCTGTGACTTTCTGCTAAATATAGAAATAATCATACCAAGAATCATAATCCCAATTAACTGAGTATTCTTGTTATGTAAGTTCCAATTCATAAAATGTTTACATTTGTTAAACCAATAATTCTGTCATCTAATAATTTGTAAATTTATTGGATTAGTGCCTCTTTTCTCCATTAGATGAAAGCCTCATGAATGTCAGAAGAACTCTTTACTTCTTTACCACTAGTTCCTAGTAGAGCTCCTGCCACATAGTGGGCCCTCATTAAGAATGAGTGGAGGCTGGGTGCTGTGGCCCATGCCTGTAATCCCAGAGGCCGAGGCAGGCGGATCTTCTGAGGTTGGGAGTTCAAGATCAGCCTGACCAACATAGAAAAATCCCGTCTCTACTAAAAATACAAAATTAGACAGGTGTTGTGGTACATGCCTGTAATCCCAGCTATTTGGGAGGCTGAGGTGGGAGAATCGCTTGAACGTGGGAGGTGGAGGTTCCAGTGAGCTGAGATCGAGCCATTGCACTTCAGCCTGGGTGACAAGAGTGAAATGCTGTCAAATAAATAAATAAATAAATAAGCTGGGCACAATGGCTCATGCCTGTAATCCCAGCACCTTGGGAGGCTGAGGTGGGTGGATCACAAGGACAGGAGTTCAAGACCAGCCTGGCCAAGATGGTGAAACCCCATCTCTACTAAAAATACAAAAATTAGCTGGCCGTAGTGATGGGTGCCTGTAATCCCAGCTACTTGGGAGGGTGAGGCAGGAGAATCACTTGAACCCAGGAGGTGGAGGTTGCAGTAAGCTGAGGTGGTACCACTGCACTCCAGCATGAGCAACAGAGCAAGACTCTGTCTAAAAAAAAAAATAAATAAAAAGAGAAAAGAAAGAATGAGTTGAATGGATGATTGAATTTCTCCCCTCCACCTCTGATTTTCTAGTGTCCCTTTTTGACTTCCTCTAGCATTAGTCTTTTAGACAGATAGCAGGCTCCCCTGACCCCTACCTCTTCTTTTCTTTTCCTGTCTCAGCAGTCTTTCCCTTCTCCCCAACCTTTCTTGAGCACCTCCTGAATGCTAGCACCAGGGACATAAAGATGAGTTAGGTACTCTCCTGCCTTCAAAAGGCTTACCGTCAAGTAAGGGAGACAGAGGAGTGGATGGCAGTTTCTGCATCAAGCATGATGAGAAGGCAGAGGAATGGCATCTAACTCAGCCTCACTAAGGAATACTCCTCAGAAAATGGGAGCTGAGCTGAGTCCTGAAGGACACATGGAAGATGGTCAGCATGGACTGAGGGGAAGGGTATTCTAGGCCAAGGGAGCTACATGAGCAGAGGTAGGATGTGGAATGGCTTGCTTATTTAACTGCAGGTAACTCAGTGTGGCCAGAGAGGGGTGGGGTGAGAGGAGTGTAGTGAAGAGATCAGGGGTCAGGTCCCCAGGGGCCTTGTGTGTATGCTGAGGGATTTGGACTCTTCCCTAAAGTCCCCAGGGACTGGGTTGTAAGAGGATCAGATTCCCATCTTACATAATTCTGCAGCAGCATGTTCGGTGGATCACAAAGGCAAGCCTTGTGGCAAAGAACCAAGTAAAAAGCTACTGGAGACAAGGATTAATGGTTATCCTCCCCGCCCCTCCCCAAAAGCTGTGACAGTGGAGCTAGGGAGAAGTATCTAGATCAGATGAAGATACTGAAGTACTGCACAGGATTGGGGAGCTGGCTGATTAGAGGGGAGTTAAGGAGTCCCATTCTCTGGAGCCTTCCATCACTCTAGCCCTCATGGTCGTCCATCCCTACCCTGGCTATATGAACTCATATCTCATCCTGTCAGGCACTCACTGAAAGACCTTCAGAAGTTGTCATTACCTATAGACTCCCTAGCCTGGATTCAGATTCATTCCCACCTTCTTTCAGAATGTATCTCCTGCTACTGTCTGTCTTGAATCGACTCCAGCCCAACCTTGGTACTCAGAGTTTCCCAAAGACCATGAGTTGTTACCCAGCCTCCACCATTGCTGTTCTTGCACTTGGATTTGCTTCCCATTCCTACTGTCTGTCTGATTTCTACTTATCTTTTAAGGCCCAGTAAACACTGCATGGTAATATCCAGTCTTGGCAAGAGTATAGGGAAATAGGCATTCTTACTACAGTGTTGGTGAGGATGTGTTTTTCACCCTTCTAGAGGGTAATCTGGCAGTGTGTCTCAGAAGCCTGAAATAATGTTACCTCCCTTTTGGTTTAGCAGTTCCACTTCAGGGAACATATCCTAAAGAAATAATTGGAGACACTCATAAATATGTATGTAGGCCAGGCACAGTGGCTCACGCCTATAATCCCAGCACTTTGGGAGGCTGAGGCAGGTGGATCATGAGGTCAAGAGATTGAGACCATCCTGGCCAATATGGTAAAATCCTGTCTCGACTAAAATACAAAAAATTAGCCAGGCACGTCCCAGCTACTTGGGAGGCTGAGGCAGGGGCATTACTTGAACATCTGGGAGGCGGAGCTTGCAGTGAGCCGAGATCGAGCCACTGCACTCCAGCCTGGCAACACAGCAAGACTCTGTCTCAAAAAAAAAAAAAAAAAAAGATCTATGTATAAGGATATCGTTACAGCATTACATATAATTGGAGAAAATTAGAAACCTAAACCAACAGTAGAGAATTGGTTAAACAAATTGGGAGATATTAATAAGCTGGTATACAATGAAGCTACTTAGTATAATAGTGCAAGTGCATATTAGATATTATATATTGAGAAAAGCCTTAAAACAGTATGTAGAATATGGTCCTATTTTTGTTATGACTCTATATACCATTTATCTGTCTGTCTGTCTATTAATCTAATTGATCTATTTTTTTTTTTTTGTAGAGACAAGGTCTTGCTTTGTTGCTCAGGCTGGTCTTGAACTCAAGTTATCCTCCTGCCTTCTCCCAAAGTACTGGCATTTTAGGTGTGAGCCATCGTACCTAGCCTCTATATTTTTTTGAGACAGAGTGTTGGTCTGCCATCCAGGCTGGAGTGCAGTGGCAGGATCATAGCTCACTATAACCTTACTCCTGGGCTCAAGCTGTCCTCCTACCTCAGCCTCTCAAGTAGCTATAACTATGGGCATCTGCCAGCATGCTGGGCTAATTTTTTCTTTACTTTTTGTAAAGATGGGGGTCTTTCTGTGTTGCCCAGGGTGGTCTTGAACTCCTGGCCTCAAGTGATCCTCCTCAGCCTCCCAAAGTGCCGGGATTACAGGCATGCGACATGATACTTGGCCTATACCATATCCATATCTATAGCAAATTGATTGGGGTTTGTCAAATCTGGGATTGGTTAGACTTAACTTACAACTTTTTTTTTTTTGTTAACTTTTAACTTTTTTGTTGTTGTTCGAGATGGAGTCTCACTTCGTTGCTCAGGCTGGAGTGCAGTGGCACAGTCTCAGCTCACTCCAACCTCCACCTCCCAGGTTCAAGTAACTTTCCTGCTTCGGTCTCCTGAGTAGCTGGACCTACAGGTGTGCGCCACCATGCCTGGCTGATTTTTATATTGTTAGTAGAGACAAGGTTTTACCATGTTGGCCAGGCTGATCTTGAATCCCTGACTTCAGGTGATCCACCTGCCTTGGCTTCCCAAAGTGCTGGGATTACAGGTATGAATAACTGTGCCTGGCCTTGTACCATAACTTCTAAGCATTAAACCTTCCAGATGACTCCACATTCTCTTACTCTCAAAATCATTTGAAGACAGCTTTATTCTATAGACAAGGAATATGGATCTATTCTGGGTACTTATAAAGAATCTGAAGGTCTGCAAAATTTTTTCTAATTGATGCTATCAGAGTTTATAAGGTTCATTGATATCAAAATTATATCCTGATCTACATTCTTGACAAGATTTCCTTAAAGGTTATTCTATTTGCTTAATTTTTTTTTTTTCCATTAGAAAGAAAAGTTCTAAATACCAAACTTTTTTTCTCTCTCAAAAAGAGATAAGGGTCTCACTGTGTTGCCAGACTGGCCTTGAACTCCTGGCCTCAAGTGATCCTCCCATCTTAGCCTCCTGAGTAGTTGGTACTACAGGTACATGCTACTGTGCCTGGCCCAAATGCAAAATATTTTAACACAGAATAACTAAATAAAAATGGATCAGCTGGGTGTTGTGGCTTATGCCTCTAATCCCAGCACTTTGGGAAGCTGAGGCGAGTGGCTCACCTGAGATGAGGAGTTTAAGACCAGCCTGGCCAACATGGTGAAATCCTGTCTGTACTGAAAATACAAAAATTAGCTGGGTGTGGCAGTGCACACCTGTAGTCCCAGATACTTGGGAGGCTGAGGCAGGAGAATTAGTTGAACCTGGGATTCAGAGTTTGTAGTAAGCCAAGATCATATTACTGCACTCTAGCCTGGGTGACAGAGTGAGACTCCATCTCAAAAAAAAAAAAAAAGGATTCAATTCTAATGTAATATCATGCTTTCATAAATATCCTCCACATAACTGTTAACATAATACAGTATAAGCATCTGACAATTTTTAAATCTTGCTAAGATTGTATGCTTATGTCTTGTAACTTTGTATTATTTTTTTTAATTTTCAGGGGTGACAACCAGTTTTGTAGTCAAAAAGCAGCCATCTATTCATTGAATTTTACAGCAAACCCACCTCAAAGGGTATTTAAACTTGTTGACCAGATTAATCCGTCTATTTTCTGCATTCATACTACAAACTGTAAGTATTTGACATTGACGTGAAACTCTGGACAGTTTTTCTCAAAGTAATGGAAAAACATCTCAGATTTATTGTATTATTATTATTTTTTGAGATGGAGTCTTGCTCCATCACCCAGGCTGGAGTGCAGTGGCACAGTCTCGGCTCACTGCAACCTCTACCTCTTGGGTTCTACAATTCTCCTGTCTCAGCTGCCCGAGTAGCTGGGATTACAGGTGTGTGCCACCACGCCCGGCTTATTTTTGTGTTTAGTAGAGATGGGGTTTTACTGTGTTGGCCAGGCTGGTCTCAAACTCCTGACGTCAGGTGATCCACCCACCTCAGCCTCCCAAAGTGCTGAAATTACAGGCGTGAGCCACCGTGCCAGGCCCTGTTTTAGTCTTTTTTCTTTTCTTTCTTTCTTTTTTTTTTTTTGAGACAGAGTCTCACTCTGTTGCCCAGGCTAGAGTGCAGTGGCATGGATCTTGGCTCACTGCAACCTCTGCTTCCTGGGTTCAAGTGGTTCTCCTGCCTCAGCCTCCTGAGTAGCTGGGATTACAAGTGCACGCCACCAACACACTTAGCTATTTTTTGTATTTTTAGTAGAGATAGGGTTTCACCATGTTGGCCTGGCTGGTCTCAAACTCCTTACCTTAAGTGATCCTCCTGCCTTGGCCTCCCAAAGTGCTGAGATGATAAAATCTGAGGCCTTGCCCAGCCCTCAGATTTAAAACAATTATTCTATGTTTTGTTATATGTATAGTGTATATCTTTAGAGACCGTGTCACAGGTTACAGGAAGTAACTTTATAGACCTGTGGGCATGCACGTTTTCCTTAAAAGTAACTATGCTCATGTAGTTGTCTTTTGAAACCTTATACTTACCTCAAAGGTGTTTATAATATGCAGACATATATAGGAATCCAGGTTTCTATATATACATGTGTTTTTTTCTAACTTTATTTCCTCCTGGTTTAATGGTTGAAAATCAGGTTCAGCTTTGAACATTATCTGTGGTTTCTATTTCCTTTTTTTCTTTTATTTTTACTAAGAATATTTGCATGAAAACAGGATCTTTATTTTTATCTGAGCATTTAGCTCAAGTATATGTCTTGATCCAAAGTACATGTACGTGTAAAATGTTATCACGATATCAAAGATCAGAGACATGTTTATGCTTTTGTCAATTAAACTCTGTCATATTTTCAGAATATCTTTATAGATTTTGGTTTTGTTCTCTTGTGATTGAAAACAGGCTCTGTGGTCTGCATGATTTGTAATCTGAAGTGATAACTGGCCAGGGACTGTCAGGTTCTCTACCATGATACCAGCCCAGTGAACATGCCAGCCTCTCTCTTGTGTACACAGCACATTTTGCTTCTGGGCTTTCACGGTGGCTGTGTGAGAGTAGAAATTGGATTCTTTCATTCCCATAGCCATCTGGAGAGAGCTTCTCCTTACAGGTTGATACAGCAGACTCATCAGTCCAGAGGCTAGAGAAATAGACAGATTATTAATGGCTTCTGATGTACTGTTTACTTGTAGGTGCTAGAAACTTACTTTTCCATTATTAGAAGAAGCAGGCTGAGTCTGGAGGTCCTGTTTATTTAATAAGCTTACAAGATCCTGGGAGAAGTGAATATGGAAAAGGACACTTTTTTTTTTTTTTTTTTTGAGACAGAGTCTTGCTCTGTCGCCCAGGCTGGAGTGCAGTGATACCCTCCCAGCTCACTGCCACCTCTGCCTCCTAGGTTCCAGTGATTTTCCTGCCTCAGCTGCCCGAGTAGCTGAAATTACAGGTGCATACCATCATGCCCAGCTAATTTTTGTATTTTTAGTAGAGATGGGGTTTCACCATGTTGGCTGGCCTGGTCTTGAACTCCTGACCTCAGGTGATCTGCCTGCCTCAGCCTCCCAAAGTGCTGAGATTATAGGCATGAGCCACCGCACCCATGCCAAGATACTGTTTTTTGTTTTGTTTTTACATCAGCCTAGTGCTACCAAAAACCATTTCCAAAACCTATATATAGGTCATACATATTATACATATATTTTACACTGATTTAAAATAGTTGTTTTTTTTTTTTAAAAAAAAACAGATAAACCTGCATTATCCTTTATTAATCCAGAAGTGCCTGATGAAAACAGTTTTGATACATTGATGAGAACAGCTGATGGTTTTACATTGAATGCTGAATCAGATATTTCTTTCACAACCAAACTGGATGTTCCTTCTACTGCTAAATATGAGGTGAGCCTGAACTTGATTGATTCTTTTCATCCCATCGCAAATATCTTGTCCTTGTAAGTTAATTTCCAAGATTACTAGCAAAACTGGCTTCTCTGAGACGTAGAGTTGATATTATAGATTAAAAAACTTAATGATCATGCCTGCAAATCAAAGATCAAGAAAATTAAATCTGAATATTTGAATTCTGAATAGGATTTAAAGTTGTTTATTCTGTGATAAACTTGTATTTTTGTCTCTTCAGAGTTCTTTGTTCACCTCAACCTTAAAAGATATAGCCAAATGCTGAGATCTTGGAGTAGATTAGTTGGATGCCTGGTCATCTTCTCAAAATTGTATTTAGTTTTACAGATTTTGGAAGATGTTGCTATTTTATGTCTATTCAGTAGTACACCTTTAAATGTGACACATGTTAACTTTGAATGAACCTTAACTTTTTTGGAGGCATCTTTTTTTCAAAGCAAAATATAAAAGCAACATGTACGAATTCTAAAAGTTCAAAGTATAGAAGCATATAAGTAAAAGTTGAAAGATCCCTGTATCCATTAAAATTCATACTGTAAATCACTTTGAAAAGATTGGTATGTATTCTTCTTGATTTTTAAATATGTCTATTATAATGTATATATGGTGTTGTGTAGAAGTGGGATTTATAGCTATCCACATTGTTCTAGAAAATTCCTTTTTCAGTGATAAATCATGTGCATCTTCCCATGACAATGTAAAAGTTACCATTGAGCATTTTCCATGTGCCAGGCACTGTGAAGAGCTTTTCAGGCACTACTTCATGCACCCCCCTGGGAGGGATGCACTCTTGTCTCCATTTAGCTGATGAGAAAAACTTAAGCACAGGAAAGTAGCTTGTCAGAACTAGTGATAGAGCTGCATTTTTTTTTTTTTTTTTTTTTTTTGAGACAGAATCTTGCTCTGTCACCCAGGCTGGAGTGCAGTGGCGTGATCTCGGCTCACTGCAACCTGTACCCTTCAGGTTCAAGCGATTCTCCCATCTCAGCCTCCCAAGTAGCTGGCATTGCAGGCACTCACCATCATGCCCAGCTAATTTTTGTATTTTTGTAGAGGTGGGGTTTCACCATATTGGCCAGGCTGGTCTCAAACTCCTCACCTCAGGTGATCTGCTGCCCTCCGCTTTCCAAAGTGCTGGGATTACGGGTGTGAGCCACCTCACTGGAGCTGCAGTTACAAAATATTCTTGGCTGGGTGTGGTGGTTGACGCCTGTAATCCCAGCACTTTGGGAGGCTGAGGTGGGCAGATCACTTGAGATCACGAGTTCCACACCAGCCTCCACAATATAGTGTAACCCCGTGTCTACTAAAAATACAAAAATTAGCTGGGTGTGGTGACACATGCCTAGAGTCCCAACTTCTCGGGAGGCTGTGCATGAGGATTGCCTGAACCCAGGAAGCAGAGGTTGCAGTGAGCTGAGATTGTGCCACTGCATTCCAGCCTGGGCAACAGAGTGAGACTCCATTTCAAAAAACAACCACAAACAAACAGAATATTCTTTTTCTGTGTATGTATCTGAGCTGTTCCAGTCTTAACAGACATGTTTCCAGTTTTTGCTATTATAATCCACAATGAACATTCTCATATATACAAATATTTTTGTACACTTCTCTGATTAAATCCTTAGGATATATTCCTATGAATGAGTTAGTTGGGTAAAAATGAATGGAAAACTTAAGTGTTGATACCAGATTGCCCTCCAGAAAAATTGCAGTGCTTTACACTCTCAGTTCCAGTGAGTGGAAGGACTTGTTTCCCATACTCCTGCTGGCACTAAAGCATTTGGATAAACTTTCAAATTTGAGAAAATTGACTATAATCCTAATAGATATCAATTTTAGTTTTGAAGATTGGGAGATAATTTTGTGGAGTTTGGTTTTGGGAAAGAAGGGATTCTTTCGTAAAATTCATTTATAAAAAATAATTTTTGAGAGATCCAAGATGGCTGATCACTAACAGCTCAGGATTGTAGCTCCCAGTGAAAGCTCAGAGAACGAGAGGATGCCACACTTTCAGACGAATTTTCATCGCTCACGGACCAGCAGATTTCTAGTGGAGTAGTCCCACGGGTCGCCACTGCGACTCTTGTGGCCGGCGCAGTGGTTTTGCTGGCGCCTTGGTGCGGCAGCTCTTCATGCAGAGTAAACGGGACTGGTTCCCTTACTGACCGGTGTTTGGAGCTCCGGGAAGGCAGAGCCACTTGTTGCGGACTCAAGAAGGAAGCCAGACCAGAGATTCCCGGGCAGAAGAGCACCGTCAGTCTTATCGCTGTTATTTTGGCCGGCGCAGTGGGTTGCTTGAATCCCAGCACTGGGAATCAATAAATTGGACGTCGACTCAGAAACCTAATTAGAAAGGCGGTAATTGTAAAGACGACAGATGGATTAATTTATAATAAAGGGAAAAAACCAGCCTAAGAAGGCCGAGCATACCCAAAATCAGAACCCCTCTCCCTCTACAGGGGATTGCAGTTCCTCATCAGCAACGGAACAAGCCCTGATGGAAAAGGACTGTGTTCCATTATCTGAAGTAGGCTTCAGAAGGTGGATGATAAGAAACTTCTGGGAATTAAAAGAACTTGTTTAACCCAATGTAAAGAAACTAAGAACTTTGAAAAAAGGTTTGATGAAATGCTGAAAAGAATAGACAATATAGAGAGGAATATAAATAAACTAACAGAGTTGAAAAATACAACACGAGAACTTAGTGAAATATGCACAAGTTTAAATAGCAGAATGGATCAAGCAGAAGAAAGGATATCAGAGGTCAAAGACCAACTTAATGAAATAAAACGACAAACCAAGAATAGAGAAAAAAGGATGAAAAGGAATGAGCAAAGTCTCCAAGAAATATGGGACTATGTGAAAAGACCCAATCTACGTTTGATTGGTGTACCTGAATGTGATGGAGAGAATGAATCCAAGCTGGAAAATACTTTTCAGGATATAATCCAGGAAAATTTTCCCAATCTAGCAAAGCAGGACACTATTCAACCCCAGGTAATACAGAGAACACCACAAAGATATTCCTCAAGAAGAGCAACCCCAAGGCACATAATCGTTAGATTCACCAGGATAGAAATGAAGGAGAAAATACTAAGGGCAGCCAGAGAGAAAGGCCAGGTTACCCATAAAGGGAAGCCTATTAGACTTACAGCAGATCTCTCAGCAGAAACCCTACAAGCCAGAAGAGAGTGGGGTCCAATATTCAACATACCTAAAGAACAGAACTTTCAGCCTAGAATCTCATATTCTGCCAAACTAAGCTTCACAATTGAAGGAAAAATAAAATCTTTTATGAACAGGCAAGTACTCAGAGATTTTATTACCACCAGGCCTGCTTTACAAGAACTTCTGAAAGAAGCATTACACATAGAAAGGAACAGCCAGTATGAGCCTTTCTAAAAATATACCAACAAGTAAAGAGCATCAACATAAAGAAGAATTTACATCAACGAATGGATAAAATAGCCAGTTAACATCAAATGGCAGTAACCCTGAATTTAAATCGACTAAATCCCCCCAATCAAAAGATACAGCCAAAACCTAATGGTATATCCAAAGATACACAAAGACTCAAAACAAAGGGTTGGAGAAAAATTTACCAACCAAATGGAGAGCAAAAATAAATAAATAAACAAAAAGCAGGAGTTGCAATTCTCACATTTGATAAAATAGATTTCAAAGTAACAAAGATACAGTGGTAAAAGGATCAATGCAACAATAAGAGATTATAATACCCAGATACATAAGACGCATAACAAGATTTAGACTCAATAAGACAGAAAATTAATAAGGATATCCAGGACTTCAACTCAGATCCGGAACAAGTAAACTCAATAAATATTTATAGAGTTCTCCATTTTAAATACACAAAATATTGATCGGCCATTATTAATACCCATTTTTAGAATGAAGCAATATTCCTGTTCTCGCTCCCTCTTTTTCTTCCTCTTTCTTCCTCTCCTTCTCTCCTTTTTTTACTTTTCAACATCCTAGTTCCTCACCTCTACTCAATACATTCCTCTGAACACCTGATTCCTTGTGAAAATAAATAAATAAATAAATAAATATCTTTTTAAGGTGAAAAAAAATAAAAAAATAAATAATTTTTATGATTTGAATGTATACTGTGTTATTTAAATAATTAATGCTAGTGAAAAATAATTCTCTCACCCGTGTGTCCAGTCACTTGGTGCCTGTCTGCAGAGGCAAACCCTTATGTCAGTGTCTCATGCACTCTTCCAGAGGAATTCCATGAGTAAGAAGCCTACACATACAGTAACATGCACACCCGGAAACACACATCCTTTTAAAAATGGTGAACACAGCTAGATGTGAACTTCTTGTGGGCAAGGACCACATCTGTTTTTTGCTCATCACTGTGTCCCTGATGCCTACAGTGCTGCTTGGCACACTGTAGATGCCCAATAGTGTTGAATGAATGCCTGATTATGCCATAATGACTGTTGGTTGTGTTTGCAGTATGGAGTTCCTCTGCAGACTTCAGATTCGTTTCTGAGATTTCCTTCGTCCCTGACGTCATCTCTGTGCACTGATAATAACCCTGCAGGTAAGAAAGTGGCCATTTTTCTCTCCTTAAGCATTTGCTGTTATTAGGTTGGTGCAAAAGTAGTTGTGGTTTTGGTCATTAAAAGTAATGACCGAAACCAAAATTATTTTTGCACCAACCTAATACTTTACATTTATAGTAGTCATAATTAAACAGGCCTCATAGCTAGAAACAGAATCTTTGGGTTAAAAGAGGCCTCAAAGGTCATGTAGTTCAATTTCCCACCCAGGGCCAGTCTTTTCTACCACATGCAGTCACTGCTTGAGCACTTGTAGTGATGGGGAACTCACTACCAGAAAACAGCCTTCTCAGTTGTTTAACACTTCCCGTTGTTGGAAAGTTCTAAGGTGTATCAGCAGCTAACAATTATTAAGCACTTATTGACTGCTGGGTATTGTGTTAAGTGCTTGCATTTGTTTTCCCTGAAATCCTTACTATAATCCCTTGAGGCCAGGTTAGTGTCTCTGTTTTTTATATCAGGAAACAGAGATGTGCAGATTCTTGTTTAGGTTCACTCAGGTGGTGGGGGAGTCGGGATGGACCCCATGCAGTTGGCCTGCGGCCTGTGCTCCCCTGTGCTCCTCTCTGTTCAGGAGCCGCCAGCAGTTTGCAGAATGGACCCCTAGGCAGTGGAAGGCAGCAGGCTTGGCTCTCCTATACCCAAGGGGCCTCACTATGAAGAAGCTAAGTAGGAAAATGTATTGTGCTGAGAAGACAGTCTTGCACACACCAAGAACAGTGTACATTAAACCCAAACCAAAGTCTGGATGAAGCAGCTAATGCCTATAATCCCAGCACTTTGGGAGGTCGAGGTAGGAGGATTGCTTGAGCCAGGGAGGTGAAGGTTGCAGTTGCACCACTGCACTCCATCCTGGGTGACAGAACAAGACCCTGTCTCAAAAATGAAAAAAAACAAACAAAAAACAAAACAAACCAAAGACAACCCCCACCCCCTGCAAAACCAGAAAACCAAACCAAACTGAGATACTGTTTTCCCCTGTCAGATTGGCAAAGCTCAAAAAAACTGAAGCTGTGGGGAAATAGGCCCTCACATACATAACTGGTAAGACTATAAATTGGCACAGCCTTGGTGAAGGGCAGCTTAGCAATTTGTACCCAAATTACGAATGAATGTGCTTTTCAACCCAGCTGTTCTATTTGTAGGAGTTGATCTTACAGAAATTCTGGCCCACATTAGAAATACTAGATTGCTGTATTGTTGGTGATAGCAAAGATGGAGACAACTTAAATGTTCATTAATAGGGAACTGGTACAATAATTATGCCACATCTATAATATATTAATTATCCCCAAGAAAGGAGGAGCTGCTTCACGTAGCAACAGGCCAATCTCCAAGATTGTTCAGTGAACAAAATGAGGGGCAGAATATTGTATATATTGTACATTTGTTTCCAAAAGGGGGAATAAACAATAATTCAAATATATGATTTTTTTATGTGTATATTTGCTTTTATTTGTATAGAATATTTCCAGAAAGATACACAAGAAGCTTCATGCCATTTGCCTCTGGAGAAGGGAACTGGTGGTAGCTGGAGGGCAGGACAGGGATTGGAGGGGGACTTTACTCATTATCCTTTTGTGCTTTTTGAATTTTGAATCTCATAAATGTATTGCCTATTTGAAATATAATTTAAAACCCTGTTTAAAACATTGTAGACCAGGCACAGTGGTTCACACCTGTAATTCCAGCACTCTGGGAGGCCAGAGCGAGTGGATCACTTGAGGTTAGGAGTTCGAGACCAGCCTGGGAAACATGGGGAAACGCTGTCTCTACTAAAAACAAAACATAACAAACAAGTTACAACAACAAAATTGTATTTCTGTGTTGTAACTTATTTTACAGTTTTACTTAGATTACAATTTTTTTGTTGCCATTGGACAATTGAAAAATTTCTTCTCTTTTGTATTTCTTTTTCCTTGGGAATGTTAACGATTTCCAGCATTTCTGGTGAACCAGGCTGTTAAGTGCACCAGAAAAATAAATTTAGAACAGTGTGAAGAAACTGAAGCCCTCAGCATGGCTTTTTACAGCAGCCCAGAAATTCGGAGGGTAAGAATTATTTTGAAGTGGAACTGATTCATTAGGTATGTTTCTGTTCTTTGTGCCCTTTTAAAATATGACAAGTACAGAATAATTTCAGTACATGATTGACATTCAAGTTTAAATTTCTCCAGTACTTTTGTATCAGTGATTGTTGAAATAATCCTTTAAATAATTTTTATTTTTATATAGTTAGCTCATATTTTGCTTTTGTTGATTTTTTTCTTTCATTCATTTTGATGGTAACCAATAATATCTGTCTCCTGAATAAAAACAGATCTCTGGGGTCTGTTGGGGGGAAATAGGGGAGGGACAGCGCGGGGTGGGGAGTTGGGGAGAGATAGCATGGGGAGAAATGCCAGATATAGGTGAAGGGGAGGAAGGCAGCAAATCACACTGCCATGTGTGTATCTATGCAACAATCTTGCATGTTCTTCACGTGTACCCCAAAACCTAAAATGCAATATAAAAATATATAAAAAAACAAATCTTTACTAATAACTAAAAACTTTAGAAATCATCTTCATGTCTGTGACAGAGATCTTCAGAAAACATATTCATATCTGTGACAGAAATAATCTTATTAGCCCCCAAAAGGGATCTCTCTCAGAAGCAAGCCAGAAAATAAGAGGAAATCCACTTTCTGGTTGGCAGATGACCCAGGCAGTCAGGAAAGAACAGCAAACAGGAGAAGAAGGCATGGTGGTGAAAGGGCCCCTTTTCTCTGGTTGCAGTGAGGCCACTGGCCAATGCAACAGATGAGATGGAGGGTGGCAAGGGAAGAAGACTTTTTTCAATGATTAAAAGCCATATGATAGGCCAAGGCAGGAGGAACCCTTGAGGCTAGGAGTTCAAGATCCAGCCTGGGTAACATAGTGAGACCCTGTTTCTACAAAAAATAAAAAAACAGTGGGGCATGGTTGGGCACACTGGTAGTCCCAGCTACTCAGGAGGCTAAGACAGGAGGATTGCTTGAGCCCAGGAGACCGAGATTGCAGTGAGCTATGATTGTATTCCAGGCTGGGTGACAGAGTGAGACCTGGTCTCTCGACCAAACAAAACAATCCCCCCACCAGAAACATGATTATTGTTATAGTGGTCCCCTTTCCAATTTCCTTTTTATGAGAGGTATAGGAGTAGAGTGGTTCATGGCACCATTATTTATCTGGACTTCAGTTTTTGTGTTTTTTTTTTTTTCTTTTTGAGATGGCATTTCACTCTTGTTGCCCAGGCTAGAGTGCAATGGCATGATCTCGGCTCACCGCAACCTCCACCTCCTGGGTTCAAGCGATTCTCCCGCCTCAGCCTTCTAAGTATCTGGGACTCCAGGCATGTGCCACCACACCTGGCTAATTTTTTGTGTTTTTAGTAGAGATGAGGTTTCGCCATGTAGCCAGGATGGTCTTGATCTCCTGCCTCGTGATCTGCCCGTTTTGGCCTCCCAAAGTGCTGGGATTACAAGTGTGAGCCACTGCGCCTGGCCTGTAACCTTCTCCTCTTCCCTCCTTTTCCCTCTCCCTCTATCATGTAAGTCAGCCATCTAGGCTTGTGAATTCTTCAGGTTAGCTTGACCTCACAGTTGTCTTAAAGTAGTCCCTTGGGCATCCAGGTACAGTTCTTTTTTCAGCACAGTTTTCTCCAAACATGTCTATTTGTTTCCCTCCCTACATCTCCTAGTGGGCCCTTCAGAAAGACAGCTCTGGCTCTACTGGGGAGGCAAGAGTTTGTCATGAAGGAGGCTTGGGCCAGAGGCAGGAAGACCAGTTAGGAGGCTGTGGAAATCGCCTGGTCAAGCAATGATGGCCTTTCAGTATGGACAGGTACAGTGAGGGTGACCAGGAGTGCAAGAACTGTGCTTCCTACAGTGCTTATGGCAGTGAGGCCATGTGGAAATACAGAATAATGACCCTGGAGCATGGAGGCTTCCTGAGGCTAGTGTGGTGAGCTTCCACCTGGAGGAAATGAAGATAGAAGGAAAACACAGTGTGATCTCTTTGATTAGGACATGGATTCAAACATACGCAAATAGGAAGTCTTGATCAAGGAAATTCTGTTTTCTTCTTTGTGAAACCTTTAATAAGGTGAATATACTCTTTAACCCAAGATCTGAAAAAGCAATGAAAATGCTTCTTTTTGTTGAACTTAACACAATTTTTTGTGATTTCTTTTTATCTAGGTACCTGATTCAAGAACAAAGGTAAGAGTATTTTATAATGGAAAGTAAGATAGTTTATGATATTCTTATTTCTGAGCCCTTTTAAATGAATGCAGTTACAATTAGAAGGGGACCTTGTTGCCAATAACAAGTACATTTGCGAAAAGCAGGCAGAAGTGCAATAGGGAAACTCCTTGGTGGGAGTCACACTTCGGGGCTCTCCAGCTGCCTCCATTGTTATGGTTTTGTGCTCTTCCGTGGTTCAGTGACACCATTGTCATGACCAGCAGTGGGTGCGATTGACTTCTGAACATTCAGGCCGTCCCTTGCTCTCTTTTTGGTCTCTTGTTGAGAAAGCTGGCCAGCTCCCAGGTTGCTGCCTGTCCAGGGAAGAAGCTGTAAGCACTTTGCCCAGTGGGTGTCCACACCGTGTGGGAGGCATGCCCCGCAGTGTACCTTCAGGGCTTGATTTAAGGGTGGGTTATTTTCAAGGCCTTATCACCCCAGCTGAGGGATCTGTCTGGTTGTGGTCAGGAGGCCAAGGTCTCTTCGTGGCTATGTCAGAAGGAATGTGGATCCCTCACCCCTTAATATAGGCTCTGCGCCCTAGGCCTGCCTGTGAACACAGTCCCCAAGGAGGCCTGAGTTTGTGGCTTTGTCATAGTCCCCCAGCCTGTGGAACTGGCCAGCCTAGGTTCAAAACTCAGCTTTGCCATTATTTTCTTGTCTGACTGACACCACGGTCTCCCTTTGTCAAGTGGATGGAAAGCATTTGCACAGAGGCATGATGCAAGTTCGAGTGGGAGAAGCACACGAGGTGCTGGTGTGGAGTCTGCGTAAGGGACGCACTCAGGATGGGGACGCATCAGTTGTGATTGACTTCATTGATGCTCTGGACACAAATGGGTGTGAGGGAAATGTTTGAAAGGGGTTGGAGGGAGGTGAGAGCTAGCCTATTGCATGACTTTCAGACTGCATCCCTGGGAGCCCTAGGGTTCCATGTGACTTTGGATCTCACATGATGGTGTGTGGGGCTGGATCCCCTCTTCTGTGAAGGTGTTTTCAAACTCGTTTTAGTTATAGAAACCCTTTCTCAAATGCAGTCTGAAGCAGAAACCTCCCTAGAGTATAACAGACTGAATCTGAAGCTGTGCTGGTTAGAGCAGGGAAGGGGCCTGAAGCCTTCCACCTGCCCAGCCTCCTCCTCTCTCCTCTTTGTTCCTAGTGAAGAACGCTAGGGCTCCCGGGAATGCAGTCTGAAAGTTATGCAATGGGCTAGCTCTCACCTCCCTCCAACCCGTAGAGAGTGCTTGGATTCTACCATTCAAAACTGGAACCATCTGTGGGGGCAGTATCCCATCAGCCTTATTCATGATATATCCTTATTTCTAAGGCAGCGTCCAGTATGTACTGGGCACTCAGTGAGTTATGCATTTAGTGATGAATGTCCAGGAGGCACTGTTCTAAGTGCTGTATGTGTCTGATGTCTTCAAATCCTTTTGGCAGTCTTAGGAGGTAGGTTCAGTTACTGTCACTCTCTGGCAGATGAGTCACAGGGAGATGAATGAGCTTGCCCACGGCTGCACAGCTGGGAAGTGGCAGAGCTGGGACGGGGATCCAGGCGGTCTGGCCCAGGGACCTTATACTTTTCCACCATGCTGGGTCAGCTCTACTCTGTGAGCCCACGTGACAGGCTTCACACACCTTCCTTCTTTGCATCCTGTGGCCACACAGGATATGGCAGATTGGAACTTGGACTTCCAACTTACGTCTGTGTGACACCAAAGATTGTGCTCTAAAGGACAAGCATATAAACTAATAGTAGGGATTTGTTTGAAATTTTCTTAAAAAGCAGATTTTAAGGTTAGAGGATCAGGAGTATAGAAATTGGGTCTAATCCTGCCACTAAGTGAAGACTGTTATGATTGCCTGGAATCATTGTCAGTCTCTGTGGAGCCATCAGCGAAAGATTCCAGGGTAGCCCTGTAGTTTCGTTGAGTATGCTGGAGTTCTTTACTCGTGTGTGGTTTAGGGATGGGATGTGATGGAAGAGGAATCAAGGAAATCAGCATGGCCCTACCGTTTCCTTCTCGTGACTATTGAGTGAGCTGTTGAGATGAGGGCAGCTCTTGCCATTGACACCAGGACTTTCCAGACCTCTTTGACATGGAATCCTTCGGTTTTTGCCAATTCCACCCACATACCATAGAAGTAGCTCTGGCAGAGGTTGGTATGGTAGGGTATGCTCTATCCTGGAACCCAGTGTCATTGCTGAATCAAGAACCACTATGCTCAGAGTAAGGAACCCGGGGTTGCCCTTGTGTTAAACAAGAGCTAATTGAATCGCAGCCTAGGACCTTCTCCATGCTGAAACCTCTTGGTGTGGTGTGTTATGCAGAGGACTTCATGGTGACTGGCAAGGCCCTTCTGCCACTCTCATCACATGACAGCTTACGTCTTTGTTACTGAGTCATGTCACATTCTTTTTTTTTTTTGAGATGGAGTCTTGCTTTATCACCAGGCTGAAGTGCAGTGGTGAGATCTCAGCTCACTGCAACCTCCAACCCCTGGTTCAAGCAATTCTCCTGCCTCAGCCTCCTGAGTAGCTGGGATTACAGATGTGTCACCACGCCCAGCTAATTTTTGTATTTTTAGTAGAGATGGGGTTTCACCATGTTGGCCAGGATGGTCTTGATCTCTTGACCTCATGATCCACCTGCCTCTGCTTCCCAAAGTGCTGGGATTACAGACAATGAGCCACTGTGTCCGGCCATGTTATGTTCTTCTATGAGAGGGTTTGACTCTCAGGTCTTCTTGGTCATGGGAGCAGACACATAAGGACTGTTTATTTATCTCTAAAATGACTGCCTAAATACTTGGTCATTTTGAATTATAAACAGCATGGTGCATGATTGAGTACAAGTTCAAAGTGGTATAAACAACTGTTAATAGATACATGAGGTTCCTTCCTCAACAGTGGTTTCCAAGAATTGAAGTTTAGAGCAAATGACAGATTCATCCTATAGTACAAGGAGGCCCAGCTACCTTTATTTATTTATTTTTTTGAGACGGAGTTTTGCTCTTGTTACCCAGGCTGGAGTGCGATGGCGTGATCTCGGCTCACTGCAACCTCCGCCTCCTGGGTTCAGGCAATTCTCCTGCCTCAGCCTCCCAAGTAGCTAGGATTACAGGCATGTGCCACCATGCCCAGCTATTTTTTTGTATTTTTAGTAGAGATGGGGTCTCACCATGTTGACCAAGCTGGTCTCGAGCTCTTGACCTCATGATCCACCCGCCTCGGCCTCCCAAAGTGCTGGGATTACAGGCTTGAGCCACCGCGCCCGGCTTCCAGCTACCTTTAGAGGATGGCTTGATGCTTTGTTACTCTGCTGGCGGTGGCCATGAATGCAAAATATCCTTTAATAGCACTGGGATAAGCAGGGATTCCTGGTGCTGCTGAAAAGGTTTGTCTGTCTCTGTTTTCTCTTGCTTATAATCCCACCACCCAGAGAAACCACTGTGTGTGTGTGTGTGTGTGTGTGTGTGTGCGCGCGCCCGCACATGTATGTATGTGTAGAAGTTGGGTATAAATTGGGTCAAATGAATATTCGGGGGTATGTGGAGGCTTAAGGATATGTGTCCTGGGACTGTGTGTGAATGTGCATGTGTGGGTATGGAGTATGTAGGAGTTGTGTTTGGAGGTGAGGATATATATATGCACTTGACAGTGTGATGGAGTTGTGTGTGTGTGTGTGTGTGTATGCAATTCTGTGGTTTTTAGTATAGTCACAGGTTGTACAACCATCGCCACTAATTGCAGAACATTTCCGTCACCCCAAAAAGGAGCCCTGTGTTAGCAGTCACTCCTCATTCTTCCCCAGCTCTGTCCCCAGCCCCTGGCAACCACTAATCTACTTTTCATTGCTATGGGTTTGCCTATTTGGACATTCCATATAAGTGGCATTAGATGTGTGGCCTTTCGTGTCTGGCTTCTGTGACTTAGCATGTTGTCAAGACTCATCTATACCGTGGCGTGTATTAGTACTGTTTTTGTGGATGAGACGTATTCCTTTGTAAGGCTAAGCTTTGTACTTATCCATTCATCAGTTGATGGACATTTAAGTCGTTTTCGGTTTTAGCTATTATGATAGTGCAGCTGTGAACATTTGTGTACAAGTTTTTGTGTAAACTTTATGTTTTCAGAGGCAACTGCTTTTAAAGTTTGGTTATATCTTCTCAAGTATTTTCTTTGTGAATGTATGTATGTTTTTACCTACAAATACCTACTTTCGCAAATGTGGGATCATGGTATACACACTATCGTGTAGCATGCTTCCCTCCACTTGGCCGTATATCAGGGAAGGGTTGTTTCCAGTTGGTTGTGATTTTAGCTCTTTCTCCCTGGGTAGAGCATCTTCAGTACTCCAGGTCTTCACTCTGCAGGTCCCTATCACTGTTCAGTCCGTTGTCATTCAGTCTCTAAATAAAACGCTCACCCGCCGGGAAGACACTGATGTGCTGCAGCCGGCTCTCGTCAACGCTGGACACTTTAGCCTTTGCATGAATGTTGTGCTTGAGGTAGGTGCCGAATTTGGCTTTGAGAGGTTGTCTGTGACGGACTCAAGCCTCATGTTCCACTGGGGTAACTGGATGCCCTCCGAGGGCGCTCTGTCCTGGCCTGTGATTTGGCTTTTCCTGGCTTGGCTGCCTGCTTGCCTTTTTGTTCTCTCATCAAAGGATGCCTCTTGTCTCCACAAACCTAGTGACTTGCAGGAATACATCAAAATGTTGTTGTCGTTGCTGTTTTTGTTTTAACATGTTTCCTCTGCAGCGATGGGCTTATTACATTCTGCTTAGACCAGCTTACATGGAACTTCTGTAATTGGGCACAGTGTGGCTCAGATGACCCTGTCTGCTAAGGGTGGTGCTGAGGGAACCACTTCTCGTAATCCAACTGGACAGCAGAGCAAAGCTTCAACACATGGAGAAATGGGGAAAGATTTGCTGCCTATGGGTGTTTTATTTGAGTTATTCATAAAGTTACTGAAATGTCATGGAACAGGTATATTTGGAGGATTGTTTTGTTTTTAGGTAAAATACAGCCTCACATACACAGATGCAGGTGAAGTCATCAAAGCCGATCTCTCTTTACTTGTGGGGACAGTTAGCAGTGTAATGGTTCCACTGCAGCAAAAGTTTGAAATTCATTTTCTTCAGGTAAGGTTGATCAAGCTGGCATAAATATTTAATTGTCAAGTTAAAAAAAAATGACTTCTTAGTGGATAAAAATGAATTTCTGAGTATTACACCCAAGCCTTTGTAGTGCACAGAGGGCTTTGTGTAGCCTGTGGTGTTTGCAGTGAAACCAAGCATCCTCCTTGTATCTTTTTCCCTTTTGGGAATAGATTCCCTTCCACGTTAGCTTGTTCTTTTACAGTATGATATACTCCTACACCTGGCAGATGTATTTATAGTTCTGAGTAGGGAGGGAGAAATACTTTTATTGGTGGGTAATTCCAGATTTTATTATAAAAAAAACCATTTGTCTCCCTGCTATTTCCTTATTGAAATGAGAATTATTTGGAGGCATTTCTGCATTGCCTTTCAGGAAAATACCAAGCCGGTCCCTCTCAGTGGAAACCCTGGTTATGTCATGGGGCTCCCGTTAGCTGCTGGATTCCAGCCTCATAAGGGATATCCTTTTTGGTTCTGTAGAGGGTGAATTTATTCCTGTCTCCATGTGTGTGGGCTGCACTGCTCTTTCTCACTGAGGCTCCCCTGGGCTGCTTGTGGGATGGAGAGAGCAGCCCCCGCGAGCTTCCTGCAGGCAGGAAGGTGGGCGGCCAGTCTGGCTACACAGCAGGTGGGCTAGGGAGAGACTGGCAGTTGGGGGTGAGATAGCATGTCCTAGGAAAATGTCAGTGGTGTTTTTATTGTAAATCTCGTTTTCTTTTCCCAGCCTGCCATTAAGCTACAAAATATGTCAGTGTTTTACAACGAAAATCTTAAGAGAGAAAAGTTGACATTTAAACGTTTTTAATTTCACATTTAAACAGACGCTCCTAAACAAATTTAGTGATTTTGAAAATTTAGAATTTCGAAGGGCCAGTTTCTGAGAATTTTTCTTCTGAGAATCTACTTAGTAAGGAAAATAGAGCTATTTTTTTTGCTCACTCCTGGGAAATAGCTGTCAAAATCCCAGAGGCCCAGAAAAAGGGTATGTAGGTCTCCTTCATGTCTCATGTCACACAAACGACAACGTCTTCTTACCTGAGAACCAGGCTGCTCTAGCACTAGGTAGTTGTCCCTTAACTGTCTGTGAATGTCTGGAATTATTCAGATCACAAATAGATATGGACAGCTTACTATTCTTCATAGCACAACTGAGCAAGACTGCTTAGCACTGGAGGGGGTCCGGACCCCAGTATTATTTGGTTACACTATGCAATCTGGCTGTAAACTAAGGTAAGAGAGTCGCTGGCTTCTATTTGAACATGTTTGTGTTGATCAGAAAACAGGGCATTCTTACTTTTCCCCATTTTAATCAAATCTCTGCATCAGCTGATGAGCTCATCTGCAAGCTGCACATGTAGTATATCATCATTCATGAATAGTAGCAAAACTATCACAGTCATTTTCATTATCAAATATGGCAAAGCAGAAATTTCAAGGCTTTGTATGTTTCTTTCTTTTTTTTTTTTTTGAGATGGAGTCTCGCTTTGTTGCCCAGGCTGGAGTTCAATGGTGTGATCTCTGCTCACTGCAACCTCCGCCTCCCGGGTTCAAGTGATTCTCTCACCTCAGCCTCCCAAGTAGCTGAGGTTACAGGCACCTGCCATCATGCCTGGCTAATTTTTGTCTTTTTAGTTGAGATGGGGTTTCACCATGTTGAAACTGGTCTCAAACTCCTAACCTCAGGTGATCTGCCCGCCTCTGCCTCTCAAAGTGCTGGGATTACAGGTGTAAGCCACCTTGCCTGGCCTTTTTTTTTTTTTTTTAGAGATGGGGTCTTGTTCTGTCACCCAGACTGGAGTGCAGTGGCACAATTTTGGCTCACTGCAACCTCTGCCTCCTGGTAATCGCCAGCCGGGATTACAGGTGCCCACCACCATGGCTGGCTAATTTTTGTATTTTTAGTAGAGACGGGGTTTCACCATGTTGGCCAGGCTGGTCTCGAACTCCTGACCTCAGGTTATCCACCTGCTTTGGCCTCCCAAAGTGCTGGGATTCCAGGTGTGAGCCACTGTGCCTGGCCTATGTGTTTCATTTTTAAGATTGTTCAGCATTTGAGTTTGTAGCAAAAATATTTCCCCGGAAAGTCTTTTATGTTTCTGAATTTTAATATACACAGCGCATCAAAACCAGTGAGAGGAAGCCTGAATATAACCTGTTTTTCATTTATCTTATTATTAAATAGGTACATAATGTAAAATATCAAATAGCACTGCATGGCTTGTTATGAACACAGTTCTTACCCTCATTTGCCCTCCTTTGGAGGCAACCATTTTCAACTCTTGTAGCTATTTTTTTCAAAATCTACCCCCAAATCTTGAAATAACCTACATATAATGCTACTTCTTGATTTTTTGGTCTTAAGAATTTTTTATTGAATTTTCCATCAAAGAAGACAAAGGTTTGGCTCTTTCCCCTTTATCCCCTACCCCATGACCCACACACTTCCTGCATCTTCCCAGGAATATCTGGTGAGACCAGTATTTACCATTTACTTTTTTTTTTTTTTGAGACAGGGTCTCCCTCTGTTGCCCAGGCTAGAATGCAGCGGTGTGATCAGGCTCACTGCATTCTTCGCCTATAGGCTCAAGCAATCCTCCTGTCTCAGCCTCCTGAATAGCTGGAACCACATATGGGTACCACCACACCTGGCTAATTTTTTAAATTTTAGTAGAGATGAGGTCTCCTTATGTCTCCTGACTGGTCTTGAACTCCTGGGCCCAAGTGCTTCTCTTGCCTCAGCTTCCCAAAGTGTTGGATTACAGGTGTGAGCCACCACATCCAGCCACCATTTACATTATTAGTTCTGATCAATTTAGACCAGCATTTCTCAAAGGGAGGGGGTTCCATGGAATACATTTCCACAAGATGTCAGTAGGAGTAGGTCTATGGTCCAATATGTTTGGGAAACACCAAATTAAAGTTAACATAATGGTTCCTTCTGTAGTACTCATCAGAGCCTTTAATAGGCAAATGTGCCTCAGGAGAGACATGGGGACATGGAGGTTCAGTGCTTCCCCAACTTTGGCCATGAAACTCTTCTTGTACAAAGCTTCAGTGGAACACAGTTTGGGAAACATTGTTTTAGACTCATCATCTCACAGGTCAAGATTTTGCAAAGTTAGAGACTCTTTAGCTTCTGTCAGATAATCCCATTTGGAGAGTGAGAAGATAATGAAACTGGAAATGCATGCATGTCATCAAAGCCTTTAAAAACTGCTGGTGGGGCCGAGAGTGGTGGCTCAGGCCTGTAATTCCAGAACTTCAGGAGGCTGAGGCAGGCGGATTACCTGAGGTCAGGAGTTCGAGACCAGCCTGGCCAACATGGTGAAACCCCCGTCTCTACTAAAAATACAAAAAAATTAGCTGGGTGTGGTGGTGGGTGCCTGTAGTCCCAGCTACTCAGGAGGCTGAGGAAAGAGAATCACTTGAATCTGGCGGGTGGAGGTTGCAGTAAGCTGAGATCATGTCACTGCACTCCAGCCTGGGCAACAGAGCAAGACTCCATATCAAAATAAATAAATAAATAAATAAACCAAAAAACTGCTGGTGGGCTAGGTGTGGGGGCTCTGCCTGTAGTCCCAGCACTTTGAGCGGATCATATGAGTCCAGGAGTTTGAGGCTGCAGTGAGTTATGATGGTGCCACTGCATTCCAGCTTGGGCATGAGAGTGAGACCCTGTCTCAAAAAAAAAAAAAAAGAAAGAAACTGCCGGTGGATGAACAACAGCCTCATTCTGTTGACTTCTTTTTCCTTTGTCAAGACTGACTGGAGCTCTCCCATGTCGGCTTGTAGCACAGAAGGTGGAGAGCCTGCTGTGGGGGCAGGGTTTCCCAGATTACGTGGCCTCTTTTGGAAATTCTCAGACCCAGGATGTGCTGGACTGGGTGCCCATCCACTTCATCACCCAGTCATTCAACAGGAAGGTAAAGGGGAGAAGGCGTAGGTTCTATGCTAGCAGTCTCTCTCTTCTAGGTGGGGTGATGAAGGCAGCCAGGGAAGCCAGCTATTAAGGAGGTGGGATTGCCCTGAGTGGGAGTGTGGGCTGAATCTTGGATACTGATTTTTGCCTCTTGTTAGCAATATTGTCTCTGGCCAGGAGTTTTATGGCTTTGATCCTCTGTTTTCATCTGTGAAGTGGGAATGCTAGTCATAGAGGGTGAATGGCCTCATGGGGCATTGAGGGGGTTAAGTGAGGTAACATTTATATGGCCCTGGGCATGGTTCCTAGTGGCCCATAAATGGGAACCACTGTGATCCTTATCCTGTTGCTACCATCATTATGATTGTTGGTGTCCCCCGAGCCCTCTCCAGGCATCTCATGACACTATAGATGAATGTGAATCCTGTATCAAAGACTGAGACTTCTGCACACATGGCTGTCCCACCCATTGTCCCCTGGTGTATACAGGCAGCCCGCACCTGAGAGTTTTCACTGCCACAGTTCCTCGCAGAGTTGAATGGAAACTGACAATCCTACAGATAGGTTCCTGGTCACATGTGATGCTTCTGCCCAACTTTTTCTTTTGTCTTAGCAGTCAGTGTGTGCTAAGTGCTCCTTGGCCGGGAGGCGTGCCCTCCATCTTAGCCTGTAATTGCCCAGCTTGTTCTTGTCATGGTTTCTTCAGGCCTCTCATTATCTGCTCCAGATATTTCTAGCATGGGCATAATGGGGATAAGGACTGCTCATTGCTCTGATCTGCCTTCCCACTGAGGCCAGCAGAGACCTGGGATTACTCAGTCCCTACCATTCCACTGCGAAATCTTGGCTCAGCTCTCCCGCCAGAACCAGGCACATGGCTTCTGGCTTCTTGGCTGAGTGATGACATCCAGTTACTACTCCCCCTCAGAAGGCAGGACACGGGTTGGCAGGAGAGGCAGCAGTGCACACATGGTACCGTCAGGGTCTGTGCTGATCCTGGGTGCTCAGAGGGCCTGCAGCAGCGGCTTTTGTACCAGCCCTGCCAGCACCCCAGGTAGAGGCAGAGCACGAGCACCTGCTAAGCTGTTTCCATTAGCTGCATGCTGCATCTTATAAGAACAGGGTATTTGAGAGGATTATTCAGCCTGCACAGTTTTTAAAGGCAGTTCCAAGCTAAGGAATTCCATCAGTGCTTTTTTGGCGGCCACCAAATTTAGCAGGCCTGTGAGGTTTTCGTGTCCTGAAGAGATGTATTTTAAAACTTTTTTTAATGAAAAAATGTCAGATATACACAAAAGTAGAACTGTACCATGGAGTCCCCACGTACCCAGCCTGCAGCCTCAATAGTTCCCACATTTGCCAACTGGAGAGATAGCAAAGGCAGGAAAAAGCCCTGGAAGGCCCCCTGCCCCTTGTTCCCTTGGGGCAGAGGCCTCAGAGCTGGCTCCCGAAGCAGCCAACAAAACAGGCAGCTCCTTCATGTCACCAGCAGTGTCCTTGTGCAGATGAAGAGTTGATGTCTTTGACAACATACGGATGCTGCCTGGATACCCAAATGTCACATCTTAATTGCCAGTTGATGAAATTAGCTAAATGAGAAGGCACTTACATTTCTCCTCAGAGCATTTTAACATGACATGCAGTCAGGTTTTATTTGCTAGTAATTACTTCCCCCACTCTATCCCTCCCACCTGTTTCTCTCCCAGAGTCTCTCTGAGGCAGGTGTAAAGACGTAGAGGAAGGTAGAGCAGTTATGGCCCTAAAGGGTTCACAGTTGGGTATTGGCACTACCGCAGTTTCAGGTGATACCGGCCGTTTTGGAAATAGGAGAGGATGGAAATATTACGCTTCAGCTGTTAAAAATATTTTTGGGGCATTGAGTTACTTTAAAATACGTACTTTCTCTAAGCCGTTTTTATCTGAACTTCTAGAGTCTATTCATTTTCTTGTTCAGAACATTTTGTAATATGTGAAACCTTTTATAATTAAAACTCTGCACTGCAGATTAAGTCTGACTTGTTGTGTAAGATTCTAATGGATTAACAGCATTTCGTTTTGCAGGATTCCTGCCAGCTCCCAGGGGCTTTGGTTATAGAAGTGAAGTGGACTAAATACGGATCCCTGCTGAATCCACAGGCCAAAATAGTCAATGTAACTGCAAATCTAATTTCATCCTCCTTTCCTGAGGTAGGCCTAACCTAGTTTAAAGGCATAGGTTAAGACAGAAGTCTAGACACAACTCAAGTGTGGTAGGTGACAGGTATTACTTTGTGAAAAAGATGACAATTTAAACCATAGGGGTTCATGAAATACTTCAGCAGTCATTCTTTTACCTAGTAAGAAACACTGATGACGGTTCTATTTACATTACCATCCTGGTTTAGATTGGATTTTTAAAATTCTCATAAAAATTATGATTGGTCTTCATGTGTTAATCAGACACCCTGGTAAAATTGTTTCTCTCATCCAAGTTAATGGCCGGTCAGCGCTCCAGAACCTATCAGATTCATGAACTGATGGTGGTTGAGTGAGGAAGAGAATGAAAAGTGAAAATTGTTGTCATTCTGGGAGCACACTGGAGGGTGGGCCTTGCATCTGTTTATTACAGGCCAGCTCAGGAAATGAAAGGACGATTCTTATTTCCACTGCGGTTACTTTTGTGGACGTGTCTGCACCTGCAGAGGCAGGCTTCAGAGCTCCGCCAGCCATCAATGCCAGGCTGCCCTTCAACTTCTTCTTCCCGTTTGTTTGATGTAAGTCATTACTTGAGGAAACTACGCCCCTCCTCTGAGGTCATCACCTTTGAAGTGTGTACATGGGTGCCAGAAGTCTCTAGGGGACACTGCATTTTATACTTTTTGAGATAGGTCTCGCTTTGTCACCCAGGCTGGAGCACAGTGGTGTGATTGTGGCTCACTGCAGCCTTGACCTCCTGGGCTCAAACGATCCTCCCACCTCAGCCTCCTAATACCTAGGACTACAGGTGTACACCAAAACACCTGGCTAATTTTAATATATTTTGTAGAGACAGGGTCTCGCTGTGTTGGCCAGGCTGGTCTCAAACTCCTGGGCTTAGACACTCCCCCTGCTTCGGCCTCCGAAAGTGCTGGGATTACAGGTGTGAGCCACTGCGCCCGGCCTTATTATACTCATGACCTTTGAAGTTGCCTCCAAACCAGAACACTACCCTTCTCCCCTCCCTTCCCGCCTTTTTTTCCTTTTGGAAATGTTATTCTGTTTGACTTTTGAATGGGGAATATGTTCAACACACAGGTCATAGATGGAACCCAAAAAGTCTTTGGGGAGATGGTAAAGAGAATGAACAGACCCTGAAGCAGTGAGGCACAGGGGACTTGGCCAGTTCACTCATCCCCTACTTTGAGTTGTTTTAAAAGTAGTTTTTAGTTAAGGTTTTTTCCTTTTTAGGTTTGGTTGAAATTAGTATAGAAATAGCAAAATATTATATAAAATCGTGTAAATGGAGTACACAGCCTTATGGACTGTCCCACAATTGCCATGTTAATTACAGTGGAGTCTTGGGTCTAATTGCCATGGTATGGGTGCCACAGAGGAAAGAATACAGTAGGAGGGTCCAGGGGAAAGAGAGAGTTTATTTTATACAGAAATTGTACAGTAATTGAGGTGGCAGAATGCGGTGGAGCCAGCTAGAGGCTGGCTGATGCAGCTGGGGCACACAGAGGAGGGGCCTGGGTACCCCTCTTGGGGAAACTGAGACAAGGGAAGCTATTTAGAACAGTTTGAAAATAAGACTTTTCTAGAGTGGGATGACAGCTAAAGTAGCTTCTTTTTCTTTCTTTCAGAATGCTCATATGAAAGGATACATTGGTTCCTTAATATACATGTGAAATTTGAAAACTGTACATTCAATGAGATTAAAGTTTATATACAACTAGCGATTGTCCAGCTTTGTTGCTCATTTTCAAGCAAGGCTAAAGTGTTCAACATGAGAAAATGTGATACATTTGATACAGTGCTGGGTGGGAATGAATGGGCAGCTCTTAGTGATACTGGACCTTCCTTCCACAAGGCTGTGTCCACCCAGAATCCATGCTGGCAAGAGGGAGGCAGAGGCATCAAACAGAACCTCTCACCAAGTGGCCCAGGAGGGGCAGCTGTTCCTCTTGTGACAGCACAGGCCCATGAGGCAATGTCTTCTCTTTGGCAGGAGCTGGTCTGGGTCTAGTTCACTTCACTGAGAAGTCCATGCTGTCGCAATAGCCTGTTAAGTCTTTCAATTTCTTGTTCCTATTGCAAAAGCAAACAAACACTGGCATTTGAGTGTCGCCAGGGATGTGACAATCATTCAGTGAGCCCCAGGCATAGGGCCACAGAGATGCATGAAAGCTACACTGGCATTCAATCTGCTGAGGAGACTGCTACAATCAGATAGGCTCCACTGAGCAGCAGTGAGAAGACAGGTGGGAGACCTGGCAGAGCCTTGGGGTATAGGGTTGGGCACAGCTTCAGGGAGGATGTGATGACTGGGCTAGCTCTGAAAGGATAGGCAGGCTCAGCCCAGGGAAGGGCACTCCAGGCACATGAGCAGCGCTGTACTGCAGACAGCTGCTGCAGCAGAGGCCAGCTTCCCAGATGTGCCTTTTTTTTTTTTGAGACAGTTTTGCTCCTATTGCCTAGGCTGGAGTGCAGTGGCGTGATCTTGGATTCAACCTCTGCCTCCCGGATTCAAGCAATTCTCCTGCCTCAGCCTCCCGAGTAGCTGGGATTATACCCATGTGCCACCATGCCTGGCTAATTTTGTATTTTTAGTAGAGATGGGGTGTCTTCATGTTTGTCAGACTGGTCTCGAACTCCCGACCTCAGGTGATCCACCCACCTTGGCCTCCCAAAATGCTGGGATTACAGGCATGAGGCACCACGCCCAGCCCCCAATATGTCTTCTTACCTTCTCAGAGCAGCTGAACTCAAGGTGTTGAATCTTGGCAGCCAACTGTACATTCATCTGTTTTAACCGTAAGAGTTGCCGTTCTGAACGTGTCTTAACTGAGATGATAATCCCTGAAATAAAATGGGGGTCTCAGTGATACTGGTTTCTAACTTGACCACTCAGGAAAAAAAATCTATATTTCTACACTTGTATAACGAGTTGAGAAGAGTGGTGACAGACACGCGAGACAGTCATTACTTCAGGGCATCAGAACTGGAGGACAGGGTTTTACATCTGAACTACTTTTAGTACCCAGTAACACAGTTCTCTCTCTAGCTGGCGTGGCCGAGAAATCCTTACAAATAATCGCTGATTGGCCAGGTGCGGTGGCTCACGCCTATAATCCCAGCACTTTGGGAGGCCGAGGCGGGTGGATCACGAGGTCAAGAGATTGAGACCATCCTGGTCAACAAGGTGAAACCCCGTCTCTACTAAAAATACAAAAATTAGCTGGGCATGGTGGCGTGTGCCTGTAGTCCCAGCTACTAAGGAGGCTGAGGCAGGAGAATTGCTTGAACCCAGAAGGTGGAGGTTGCAGTGAGCTGAGATCGTGCCATTGCACTCCAGACTGGGTAACAACAGTGAAACTCAGTCTCAAAAAAAAAAAAAAGAAAAATAATCGCTGACAAGATGAGCATTAGGCTCCTTAACCTAGAACCTGTTCACAATCATATGGGTGCATAGCAAGCAGCAGTGTGCTCAGGTGCCACGAAAGCACAGGCTGGGAAATGCCCTTTCCCCATAACAAGCATCTTCTGTAGGAACTCAAAGGCTTTTTTTCTTTCCTTTGACAGAGTCCAAAGTGTTTTTTTTGAGATGCGGTCTCACTCTGTCACTCAGACTGGAGCGTGGTGGCACATTCTTGGCTTACTGCAGCCTCCAAATCCTGGGCTCAAGCGATCCTTCCACCTCAGCCTCCCAGCCACTACCAATCCTCAGTAGTGGCTGGGACTACATGTGTGCACCCAACTGTTTGTATTTTGTTTTGTAGAGACAGGGTTTCACCATATTGCCCAGGCTGGTCTCGAATTCCTGGGTTCAAGCGATCCTCATGCCTCTGCCTCCCAAAGTGCAGGGATTACGGGCATGAACCACTGCATCCAACCTGTTTTTTATTTGCTTTAATTGCTTGATGTAAACCTGCTCATACCAGCTCCTAAAGGGCTGAAGAGGAAGAAAGTAGGAGACGGAGGAGAGGAGGGGGCAGAGAGGAGGCCTCCATAACGAGAGCCACAGTGAACTCAGGTGCCCAGAGTGACTGTGCATCCAGGCCTTGGATGCATGCCTGAGCCTCGTTCTCCATCCACAGCCTGGGAGTGCAGGAGACATACCGTTGATGATCCGGGCCACCCGCCACAGCCGGAGCAGAATCAGCAGGCCAAGAGCCTCAAACTCGTGCTCCCGGAACAGGAGGACAATGTCGAGGACAAATGAGACCACCACCACTACGGCATCCAGGATCTCAAACTTGTGGTGAAAGAACTCCAGGCGGAAGACATATAATTTAAAGATAATCTCCATCATAAAAAAGACCAAGATGGCGATGCTCATGTAGTGGAACACCTGAAGGGGACAAGGAACCACAGTGAGGGGAGATCAGGGCTTTGGGAGGTCAAGCTGCCCTCGCATGCACCTGCCTGGTCACCAGCAAGAGAATTCATCTGTTGGACAAATCCAGATGCCACCTGACGCTGTTCTCTGTGCTGGAAACAGCTATGAACAACGCAGATGAGGCCCCTGCTCTCTGAAGGGCAATTAGGCAATGTTGGAATTAAAACATCCTCCAGACCCTTTGGACCAACAATTGTATGACTAAGAACTTATCCTATAGCTGAGTTCCCATATCCACAGGGACTAAGGATATTTATTGCAGCCTTGTTTGCAGAACAAACATTTTCTTCATTGTTTGTAAGATAACAGAAATGTCCAATAAAAGGCACTCTTGAAATAAATGGTGGCACCTCCATCTGGGGCCCGAGGGACACAATTGTTGAAAAGATGAAGCTGGGGGGTCTCTCCTTGCCGCGGTGCGCCAGAGCAGAGTACGAGTCTGAGACTGAGGGAGTCATGGCAGGACAGGCGTTTAGAAAGTTTCTCCCACTCTTTGACCGAGTATTGGTTGAAAGGAGTGCTGCTGAAACTGTAACCAAAGGAGGCATTATGCTTCCAGAAAAATCTCAAGGAAAGGTATTGCAAGCAACAGTAGTCGCTGTTGGATCGGGTTCTAAAGGAAAGGGTGGAGAGATTCAACCAGTTAGCGTGAAGGTTGGAGATAAAGTTCTTCTCCCAGAATATGGAGGCACCAAAGTAGTTCTAGATGACAAGGATTATTTCCTATTTAGAGATGGTGACATTCTTGGAAAGTATGTAGACTGAAATAAGTCACTGTTGAAATGGCATCAATGTGAAGCTGCCCATTCCACTGAAGTTCTGAAATCTTTCATCATGTAAATAATTTCCATATCTCTTTTATAATAAACTAATGATAACTGATGACATTTAGTGTCTCCAAAATTGTTTCCTTGTACTGATATAAACATTTCCAAATAAAAATATATAAATGAAAAAAAAAAAAAAAAAAAAAAAAAGATGAAGCTGGGTGTGGTGGCTCAAGCCTAGAATCCCAGTTACTCAGGAGGTTAGGTGGGACCTCCTGCCCAGAACCCAGTTTGAGGCCAGCCTGGGCTATATAGCAAGACCCCATCTCTAAAATAACTGAATGAATGAATGGAGGCAGATCCATATGTTCCAATTAGGAGTGATTACCAAGGTAGATGAAAAGTGAAAAGCATTCTGAGATCTTGATGTATAAATACTAGTCCTGGCTGGGCACAGTGGCTCATGCCTGTAATCCTAGCACTTTGGGAGGCTGAGGTGGGCAGATCACTTGAAGTCAGGAGTTTGAGACTACCTTGGCCAACATGGTGAAAATGTGTCTCTACTAAAAGAAAAAAAAAAATAAGAAAAAGCTGGGTGTGGTGGTGCATGCCTGTAGTCCCAGCTACTTGGGAGGCTGAGGCAGGAGAATTGCTTGAACTCAGAGTAGAGGTTACAGTGAGCCAAGATCACACCACTGCACTCCAGCTTGGGTAACAAGTCAGACTCTGTCTCAAATAAACAAACATACATACATACATACATACACACACACACATACACACTAATCTTCCTCACAGGGAGGGGAGCAACATACACTGGGGTCTGTTGGTGTTGGCTGCAGTGGGGACAGCAGGGGATGGGGAGGTTGGGGAGGGGTAACATGGGGAGAAATGCCAGATATAGGTGACAGGGGGATGGAGGCAGCAAACCACATTCCCATGTATGTACCTATGCAACAGTCCTGCATTATCTGTATATGTACCGCAGAACCTAAAGTACAATTAAAAAAAAAACAAAAAACACCAGTCCTCACACTAAGGTAACCATTTCCAGATCTGGGACAGGGACAGTACAATGTGGGCAAGGATGTCTTCAAAGACACAGAGTCATGTCAACAAGACCCAGCAGTCAGCTTGGAGAGGCTCACAGTGACAACATTTGGGACAATCTGAACATTGAAAAGAATGACTACGATTGATTGTAACACAGTGAATAAAAAATTCACAGTGTGGCACACACACCCATGCACACACACACACACGTGGGAAAACAGGGAAGTGCTTTTTTATAGAAGATTACCGACTACTAAATGTAGAAGGAAAGATAGAATTAGAAAATCACCATTTTGCATCCCCCAGTGTAGTCACTAACTCAGGCAAGGATCACCAACAGATGCCAACTGGGGAAGAGGAAATTTGCATGCTACCAAAGCAGTACCGGGCAGATGCTTTATCAGTGCAATGGGAAAAGTGCCCCGGCCAGTGGAGCAGGCCAGCATTCACTACCTAAATCAAGTGACCCGACTGAGTCGGACCTCTGGCGTGGTGTGTCTCCTGAAAATGCCACATCTGAACATCACCCACCAATGAAGACTGCCTGCTAATCAAGCCCTGGACCTAATGGTGGTGTGCAGGAAATAAACAAGGCAGGGGACCTCAAAATCATCAGACAAATCCAGAACATGGGACATCCTACTGGCTGGGATCTTCCAAGAAGGAAAAAGAAAACAAGAGGAGGACTTTTTTCTTTTTGAGACGGAGTCTTGCTCTGTCACCCAGGCTGGAATGTAGTGGTGCGATATCATCTCACTGCAATCTCTGCCTCCTGGGTTGAAATGATTCTCCTGCCTCAGCCTTCTGAGTAGCTGGAACTATAGGTGTGGGCCACCACGCCCAGCTAATTTTTGTATTTTTAGTAAAGATGTGGTTTCACCATCTTAGTCAGGGTGGTCTTGAACTCCTGACCTTGTGATCCACCCACCTCGACCTCCCAAAGTGCTGGGATCACAGGCATGAGCCACTGCGCCTGGCAAGGATTTTTCTAGGTTAAGAAAGCCCAGGGAGGCCGAGTGAGGAGGCTCATGCCTGTAATCCCAATACTTTGGTGGGCCAAGACAAGAGGATCACTTGAGCCTGGGAGTCCAAGACCAGACTGGGCAACACAGGGAAACCCTGTCTCTACAAAAAATTTAAAAATTAGGTGTAGTGGCGCCTGCCTGTGGTTCTAGCTACTCGGGAGGCTGAGGCAGGAGGATGACTTGAACCCATGAGGTCAAGTCTGCAGTGAGCTGTTTGTGCTACTGCACTCCAGCCTGGGTGACAGAGCAAGACTGTCTCAAGGAAAGAAAAAAAATTCCAAGGAGACATAACCAAATAGAATATTAGAATTCTCTATCCTAGTTTGAAAAAAAGTGCCATACAAGACATTCTTGGGCTGGTCACTTGAGGTCAGGAGTTTGATACCAGCCTGGCCAACACGGTGAAACCCTGTCTCTATAAAAATACAAAAATTAGTTGGGTGTAGTGGTGGGTGCCTGTAATCCCAGCTACTCTGGAGCCTGAGGCAGGAGAATTGCTTGAACGTGGGAGGTGGACATTGCAATGAGATGAGATTGTGCCTCTGCACGCCAGCCTGGGTGACAGAGGAGTGAGACTCTGTCTCAAAACAAAAACACAAAACAAAACATTTGGGATGAGTGAATAAAAGTGGTTGTTAGGTGGGATTATTGATCTTATTTTAGGTCTGACGATGCTCACATGGCTCTGTGGGAGAAGGACCTTAGTGGGCATGCTGAAGTAGTTAGAGTGAAGGGTCCTGACATCAAATGATCAGATGGAGATGTGTGTTTCCGCGGGGATGTGTAGTAACAAGGCAAACACAGCAAAATGTGTCTTTGCCAGTTTTCATAATAAAAAGTTGAAAAAAAGACAATGAGTATAGCAGGTATGTCAGCAGATTCTATTAAAAATAGAGGAAGAGAGCCAAGTGCAGTGTCAGGCGCCTGTAATCCCACAACTTTGGGAGGCAAAGGCAAGTGGACTGCTTGAGACCTGGGTCTAAGACCCCAAGTCTCTGAGAAACATGAAAAAAATTATTTAAGAGAAAATAGATGGACAGAGAAGATTCTCCTATACCAGCATAGATGTCACAGGGCTGCCTCTGGGAAAGGTGCCAGGAAGGAGGAGGATTTAATATTTCCTTCTGCCTTTTTCACCACTTGCAAAGACTTGCATTTACATATCAATTCCATTTTGTTTTTCAAAAAATGGGCACGGTGGTGGGGAGGATGCTTTTTTTTTTTTTTTTTTTTTTGAGACAGTTTTGCTCTTGTTGCCTAGGCTGGAGTGCAGTGGTGCTATCTTGCGAGGCTCACTGCAACTCTGCCTCCTGGGTTCAAGCAATTCTGCCTCAGCCACCTGAGTAGCTGGGATCACAGGCATGCACCATTACACCCAGCTAATATTTGTTTTTAGTAAAGATGGCGTTTCATCACATTGGCTAGGCTGGACTCAAACCCTGACCTCAGGTGATACACCCGACTTGGCCTCCCAAAGTGCAGGGATTACAGGCATGAGCCAATATGCCCGGCCGGAGATGCCTTTTTTTTTTTTTTGAGAACAGGGGTCTCACTATATTGCCCCAGGCAGTCTCGAACTCCTGAGCTCAAGCTGTCCTCCCATCTCTGCCTCCTTAAGAGCTGGGATTACAGGTGTGAGCCACAGTGCCCGGCCCCAGAGATGCTTTTAATTCTCCTGATCTCCTCCCTTGGCACCGAGGCAGGGTGTGTTCACCACCCCTTGGGTGAACGTCTGGGATGGGCTCAGTAACTGAATCAGTGAATAAACAGCACATCCTCTGATGACCCAGCATGGGTACCATGCAGATCATCAACAGAAGACAGGAGAAATGCCCCTCCTGCCCCAGAGATGGCAGAGGGGATCCACCCCACACGCTCCAGCTCACTAGCCTAGCATTGCCCAGGATTCCAGCCATCATGTGAAACAAGATTTCCTGCTTGTAGTAAATGCTTATTCATAATCTGGAAAGGAAGATGAAAACACCTATGAAACCACCACAGACCTTGCTACTCCAAGCGGTGTGTCAGCTGCTCCATTCTGCACCCCTTCTGTGCAGGTAAACATAAGCAAAACATACCAGTAAGACCCCAGAAGAGTTGCCAACCCCTACCATGGCGGCATAGTTATTCTTGTCAGGCTGGATGATCTTCAGGTCCAGGATGAGCTCAGCAAGCACCAGGAGGGCATCCAGAACCACCAAGCAGATGATGATGACCTGCAGATGAGGGAAGGCACCAGAGACTGTGACCCACATGGAGGCCCTCCCTCTTCCCATCATTAAGAGCTGGCTTGGAAGCATGTGGGTGAAACTGCTGGGCAAAGCCATAAAGGATGGGAGACCATGGCCATAGCTCTCCAGAGCACCCCCCCATTCACCCCCTGCCAGGATGGAGGCTGCGCAGGGCCAGCTCCTCTTCAGGAGAAGCCGCCAGCCTCCTTCCTGCCACCCTCCAGCCTGCTCTGCCTCCAGGCGGTGCCCCTCTTCCCTGCCTTCCCAGAACATCTTTGGCTCATTTTCTGACCCTTTGTCACTATTTCTGAAATACCACCTCTCAAACCAAACTGCCCATGTCTAGATGCAACATATAATCATTTTTTAAATTTGTGTTTTTCTTACTTTTTTTTTTTTGTTGAGACAGAGTCTTGCTCTGTCACCCAGGCTGGAGTACAGTGGCATGATCTCAGCTTACTGCAACTTCTGCATCCTGGGTTCAAGCAGTTCTCATGCCTCAGCCTCCCCAGTAGTGGGGATTATAGGCATTCACCACCACCAAAATAAGTTTTGTATTTTTAGCAGAGAGTGTTTCACTAAACATGTTGAGCATGTTGGCCAGTCTGGTCTTGAATTCCTGACCTCAGGTGATCCACCCACCTTGGCCTCCCAAAGTACTGGGATTATAGGCTTGAGCCACAGTGCCCAGCCAAGTTTGTATTTTTCTATTCCTGGGGACCGCTGTTGCTGGGGTGCTTGCAGAACAGATGCTCAATAAATAAAATGGCCCCACCTCAGCAGTCCAAGTCCTAGAAGGGACCTTGGGGACTGCCTACTGCAGGCCATTCGGCTATAGGGACAGCTGCTGTGCTCACAAATCAGCTTCTGCCCAGAGATGCGAGGTGCCTGCCCCAGCTCACGTGTGCTCATATCGGGTGAAGAGGGTGTAGGGGAGAGGAGTCCTGGGTGTCCTGGAGAATTGAGAACTGCTATGGGAAAGACAGCCTCTTGGGCTTTGTGATGAGCTGACAGAGAACTGATGGTGGCTATGGGAAGCAGCTGGCGGTGATGGCAGTCACATCGACAGCTGGTGATGATGTTGGCAAAGGCACTGATAGCAGGGTGGAGGTGACAGCATTGGGGATATCACGGTGGCAGCAGAAATTCAGCAGTGGGAGGAGCCCCAAAGGACCTTGAGTGACCCCTCTCTTCCCTTGGAAATTCCATATCCTCACCGTCCTCTCCCTGGGTTTAGCCTCTCACGCTCTCAGATCAATAGATTCTGGTCTCTGAAAATTAATATGCCATTATTTTGGTAGTTTCTGCAGTTTCAGGTTAAAATTTAAAAAGTTCAGGTCTCTGCAAGAACAGACTATTATTAATCCTTTCATCCTGTAGGTAATTATTTCAGTAATTAAAGTATTTGATGACGTGGTTTATTGTGAAAATTGCATGGCACATTGCTTTGTAATGAAGTTTTCACACATATCCAAATTCAGCAAGCTTAATAAAGGTGCAAGCCTCTAGTGGGGGTTTTGTTGTTTTCCCTTGGATTTATTTTGGAACTAAAGGGATCTGAGAGCTCATGTGATGTAAAACCAAGCCACAGAGCTACAAGGGACAGACCTGATATTCAGCCATGAAAAAGATGAGGTTCTGACCCATGCTACTATGAAATCGTCATACTTAGTGAAAGAAGGCAGACAGAAAAGATCACACATTATATGATCCCATCTGTGTGCAATGTCCAGAAATGGCAAATCCAGAGACAGAATGCAGGTCACGGTTGCCTAGGGCTGGGGGAGGGGAAATGGGGAATGGCTGCATGACTGCATGACTGCTAATGGGTACCATGTTTACATTTGAAAATGCTGTGGGGCCGGGTGTGGTGTCTCACACCTGTAATCCCGGCACTTTGGGAAGCTGAGGCAGGCGAAACACCTGAGACCAGGAGTTCGAGACTAGCCTGGCTAACATGGTGAAACCCCACTTCTACCAAAAATACAAATAAATTAGCCAGGTGTGGTGGCGCATGCCTGTAATCCCAGCTACTTGGGAAGCTGAGGCAGGGGAATCTCTTGAACCCAGGAGGTGGAGGTTGCAGTGAGCCAAGATCACGCCGTTGCACTCCAGCTTGGGCAACAAGAGCAAAACTCTGTCTTAAAAAAAAAAAAGAAAAGAAACTGCTCTGGAACTAGACAGTGGTGACTTGTACAATATTATGAACGTATTAAATAAATGCCACGGAGTCATTCACTTAAATTGATTGTTATGTGAATCTCACCTCAATTTAAAAAAAGAAACAACACAAAAGAAAAATGAGAGACCAACCCAAGGTCACAGAACTACGATGCCCATATACCAACCCTGGCCTCTACGAAAACTCGTCCTTGGGGCCCTGAATCTGCCAGTTCATAGGGAGTGCTGCTTCTGAGGGGAACCAGGTCACAAAGAAAAATGCTTAGAATTCAGAGAAGCTGCTTCATTCCAAATCCTCATCCTGGCAAAGACGGCAGGGTGCATGCCGTGGGGTGGCCAGTCCTGGGCTCAGCTCCCAGCTCCCCCATCTGCCTGGACCTTGGGCACATCTCTCAATGCTGGAAGCTTCAGCGTCCTCGGGGAAAATACAGTCTACCCCAGAGCGACAACGGGAGCATGACATGAGTGAAATGTGAAGAGCGCTTAGCACAGGGTGGGCCTGCAGTGCATGGGAATAAAAGCGAAGCTCCCTGACCCCCAGGACCGTCTTCCCTTGGCTCGACTCTGTCCTGCCCATTCATGGCTTCCTTGGGCTCCAAATCACCCCATATTCTCTCCCTGGGTTGTTCCATCCCACGTAAGATGGGACTGCAGTTAACTTTTGATATATTAAGCACCTTGGCCATCTCAAACCACCCAAGTAAGGGATCCCAGGACCTTCCTGCCAATCCTACTTGCAGAGACCACAACCCTGAGCCTTCCCGCCTACTCTGGTGTGGCCTTGCTGCTGCCACCAAGTCACCCTACAAATCTGATCCCCCAAATCATGCACTTAGGGCCTTCGAAGGCAGCCCATGGCCCATGGATGACCTTCCCAGGCCTCTTCTCTTGCTAGGTGCCTGCTGGCGACCCCCACACCCGAGCCAATTCCTCCAATGCTGCAGGCCCTTGGCAACCAAAGCCCCTCTACCTGGAAGGTCCCCCCACGACCCATCCACGGGTCTCACTCCTGCTCGGCATGCAGGTGTCACCTTCTCCAACTCCAGTCCCTGATCGGGTCCCCCCACCCCCAGGACCTCTCAGAGCCTCCCTCCTCCCTGTGGAAGGCTTCTCTTCAATTGCAATCAGCGTGTCTCAGTGATTGCTCCTGTCAGTCCTGCCTCTCTGCAGCCTGCCAAATTCTCTGTAAGGGCAAAAATGTGTCTGCCACATTTGTCACTGTACATGGCCGGTGCTCAATAAGTAACTATTGGGTGGGTGGATAAACCCCTCCACTTACTTTATAACAGGCATTTGTCTTTCTCCCCACCAGGAGTTTTTCTGGGGGTCCTGGCTCAGGGGCCGGCCCCCAACCCTAAGCCCAGGCAGGATGGGGACATCTTGAGGGGGCGGCCCAGGGCTCCCCTTGCAGCTGCAAGGAAGCTGGTTCCTTCCTTCTGCTCCTGAAATTGAGGGTTTGGGATTTCAACCCCAACAACTTAATACCACGTTTCCTTTCCCGTCACAGCCACAGAGGAGCTGGGCCTCCAGGCGCTCTGGCATGTCAGCTGGCTTGCTTCTCTGCTTTCAGCCACACAAGAGTGGGGAAAAAAAGACCAAAATAGTTTTTCTCTCTTTTACCCTGGAATAGTCAGTGATGGAAGAGACAAGGGCTGCATCTCTCTGCTTCCCGAAGGGGGACAGGCTTTAAGGAGGGACAGGTCTATTTTGATCGGGGCTTGGGGCTATCTGCAGCCCTTGAGAACTGTGAGCTTTCCTGTCGTCCCTGGGCCTGTGCCCTCCCACGACTTAAATGTGCTTCCAGGCACTCAGACACAGGCTCTGCCACCTTGGGGATGGGGATGGGGTCCAGAGACGGCTGACCATTCTCTGCCTGCATTTGTCCTTCAAAATCAGAAATGTCCGTCTAGGCTGGGAATGGTGGCTCACGCCTGTAATCACAGCACTTTGGGACGCCAAGATGGGAGGATTGCTTGAGACCAGGAATTAGAGACCAGCCTGGGGAACATAGCAAGATTTCTTAAAAAAAAAAAAAAGCCCTATTAAATGGCAGGCCATGGCCAGGCATGGTGGCTCACACCTGCAATCCCAGCACTTTGGGAGGCTGAGACAAGCAGATCACTTGAGGTCAGGAGTTTAAGATCAGCCTGCTAAATATGGTGAAACTCTGTTTCTACCAAAAATACAAAAATTAGCCATGGTGGCGGGTGCCTGTAATCCCAGCTACTCAGGAGGCTGAGGCAGGAGTTCAGTTACCTTTGCTCATCTGTGAGGACCGCCCCTGCTCGGCTTTCTCCCTGTCATCACATCTGGAGGCCAGCAGTGGGTTAAGGCCAGGACAGGCAGGTATTTTGGGCATCACTCCACAAGAGAGACTGAGGCCCCCAGTGTGATGACTCTCTGTGAGGCAGGGGAGCCTCTGGCACTGAGTTTTGCAGAATGAAACCCAGTGTTTTTTCCGTCTCCGTTATTTACCCTTTATTTACTTTTTTTGTGTGTGGTAAAATTTGCATAACGTAAATTTACCATTTTTAAAGCTGGTGTAAAAGTTCAGTGGCATTCAGTCCATTCACAAGGCTGTGCAATCATCACCACTAGAATTTCAGAACATTTTCATCACCTTGAATGGAAACACTCCCACCTGTGGCAGCCGCCAATCTGCTTCCTGTCTCTGTGGATTTGCCTGTTCTAGACATTTCGTATCAATGGAATCCGACACTCTGGCCTTTCGCGTCTGGCTTCTTTCCCTCGGCACCATGTTTTCAGGGTCCATCCACACTGTGGCAGGGGTCGCTGCTTTGCCTTTAATGTTGGCGTCATATTCCACGGCACGGACAGAACACATTTGCTTTCATACTCATCCATTGGTGGACCTTTTACTTTTGGATCATGGCTCTTTGCTCCCTGACAACTCAGAATCTGCCTACCGCATGCCCAGCACAGTACAGGGTGCCTGGCACGTGGTAGGTACTGGGAAAACACTCGTAATATGAATGAGGCAGGGGCCGAGATGGGCTCAGCCCTGCCGCCCGCCTCACATTCCGAGAGCTCTCCAACCAGCCCTGGGCCTCCCGGACCCCGGCCCCACCTACCTGAAACCTGTGGGAGCTGAACAGTTTCCTCAACGTGCCCCTGAAGTCAAGGGGGGTCCTGGCTGCAGGGCCGGGGGCAGTGTCAGGGGCTGCAGCTCTGCCTTCCTCGCCTGAGGCTGGTGTGGGTGGCGGCTGCTCTTCCTCCTCCTCGTCCTCTTCATTCTCCCATTTCTTGTAGTTGATGTTCCAGGCCTGGTAGTCGTCCCCCACGACTGTGAAGTGCCTTAAGAACTTGCTCATCCTCTCTGCGGGAGCCACCTTGGCCCTGCGGGTGACTGCCTAGAGGGCAGGAACAGAGAGCAAGAACTTCAGCCAGGTGGCCTGGGGCCCTCCGGACCACTCAGAGCCCACATGGCCCAGGCCGGGCCAGGCTACTGCAGGTGAAGACGGTCCCGGGTGCTCAGAGCCCCCTGTGAGCAGAGACCATGAGGTCACGGTGGTTTCTCGTGCTGTTATTTTTGGAATCCAGGGTCTCAGTGTCTATGAGGTAACAGGAAACTCTAGCCCCCAGCAGGCCTGTCGCTGTGGTCTGCTTGGCAGTAACCAACGGAATCAGTACTGCAGCCTGTCCCAAAACACCCCCATGGGCCATGCTTGAATATTGAAAGGGCCGCCCCAGGGTTCAGAGACACCACAACCCAGAAAACGGAGGGGATTGTGGGCAGGGTGTGGGGAGGAGAAGCCAAAAGTAAAAGTACACTGAGTTTCACAGAGAAGTCGAGACCCCAAGCCATCACGCCACACATCAGACCGGACAGGCACGTGGCAGATGGACATTTTCCAAGTTCAGCTAGCGCTATTTCCGTGGACAGTAGTTTACAGCAAAAGCAAATATCCCTGTGCCCTCTATCCACTTTGCCCAACTTGCCCTACCAGGCATCAAATTTTACATACATTTAAATAATTAATATGCATAGGTATGAGTGCAAAAGCAGGCTGCATGACTCCTGGAACAGGAAAGGACAGCCCAATGTCCTTGAGGGAGCCTTGAGGAGAGGGGGTGGCAGTCCAGACCCATGGGAAAGAAAGGCTGGAGAGGCTGAGACACCTAGCTTTCTCAATAGGAAAAAAAAATCCAATCCCCATCTTGCCCCACACGCAGAATACATTTCAGATGCGCTAACATTAATATGTAAAGTGTATTAAAAAAGGAACAACTTAAAAAGTCTTAAAACAATATAGGCAAGTAACTTCATGAGCTTAGGGTAGGGAAAGATTGCTTAAATAACAAAAAATACCACAAAATAGGCTGGGCATGGTGGCTCACACCTGTAATCCCAGCACTCATCCCACGGGCCAAGGCAGATGGATTGCTTGAGGTCAGGAAAAGCAAATATCCAGCCTGGCCAACATGGTGAGACCTCATCTCTACAAAAAATATAAAAATTAGCTGGGCATGATGGCACATGCCTGTAGTCCCAACTACTCAGGAGGCTGAGGCCCCAGAATCGCTTGAAGCTGGGAGGTGGAGGTTACAATGAGCCGAGATCTTGCCATTGCACTCCAGCCTGGGCAACAGAGACCCCTCGCCCACCAAAAATGAACAATACAAAAACAAACACAAAATAGATTTGACTGTATCAAAACTAAAAGCTTTACTATGACACACACACACACGCACACACACACACCCCTACAAAGTTAGAAGACACACCAGAAACTGGGGTATTTGCGATGTATTTGATAGACAAAGACTCAATAACCAGAATATACAAAGAAATCTTGTAAATCAAAAAGAGTAAGAAAAACTCCATGGAAAACGGGCAGTGGCTATCAACAGGCAGATTGTGTAAGGGAAAACCCAGATAGCCAAGATGCTCATCCCCACTAATACTCAGAAAAACACAGGGTCAAGTAACAACCACACAACTTTTCACTCCTCAGGTTGGCAAGAGTCTTAAAGTTTACAACATCAAATATTGGTGAAAGCAGGAAGCAGTGGGGTCTCTCGAATATTGAAGATAGATATAGGTACCAGCACCATCATTTTGGGAAGCAATTTGGCATGGTCTTGTCAAGCTGAAGTTGTGTGTATCTTTCTGAATGATCTAGTGATTCCATCCCTAAATCCATAGAGAACTTGGGCACATGTGCTCAAACAGGTGACATGTTCAAGGATGTTCAAGCAAATATTCACCTAGTTGGCCAAGTGTGGCTCACACCTGTAATCCCCACACTTTGGGAGGCTGAGGTGGGAGGACTTGAGTCCAGGAGCTGAGACCAGCCTGGGCAACATGGCAAGACCCTGTCTCTACAAAAACAAAAAAATTTAGCCAGGCATGGTAGCACACACGTGTAGTCCCAGCTACTTGGGAGGCTGAGACGGGAGGATTGCTTGAGCTTGGGAGGTTCAGGCTGCAGTGAGCTATGTTCTTCAGCCTGGGCAACAGAGTGAGACTCTGTCTCAAAAAAGAAAAAAATAATTCACCTAAATGTGGGAAAGAGAAATGAATATCCTCTGTTCATGTGATGGGAAATGAATTAACTGCATCTCAGTAGGTCACTGGTGATGTCTGTGAGTACCTACTTGGCAGCACGGAACACAGTGGACCAATCACTCCTTACTTCAAACACTTCCTTCATTGGCTTCTAGGATGCCACAATCTCCTGGTTTTCCTCCTACCTCTTACCAGTGGTTGTTTCTTGCTAGTTTCTTTTGGCCAGTGGATACCTTAGAGGAAGACCTTACATTTTCTTTCTTTTTTTTAAGAGACAGGATTTCACTCTGTCACCCAGGCTAGATGCAGGAGTGTGATCACAGCTCACTGCAGTCTTGAATTCCTGGACTCAAGCAATCCTCCTGCCTCCATCTCCCAGGTAGTTTGTACTATGGTACACTATACCATGCCTGGTAATTAAAACAAAAATTTTTTTTTAGCGATGTGGTCTTGCTATGTTGCCCAGACTGGTCTTGCACTCCGGGGCTAAAGCAACACTCCTGCCTCAGCTTTCTGAGTAGCTGGGATTACAGGTACATGACACTGTGCCTGGCTTACATTTAAGTATTAAGTACAACTGTACACCCAGCACCTAGAACAGTGCCTTGCACTTAATAGACACTCAAAAATACTGAAATGTTTGTTAAGCAACAATGAATCTAGCAATGTGGGTAGCTCCTAAATAATGTTGACTGAAAAGGAAAGATATGGAAGAATATGACCAATGCCATAGGACTTAAGAAAAAATGTTAAATATATGGAAAATATTATTATATATTGTTTTGGAATGTATAAAACAGCAGTGTAAACATACACAAGAATGAGATTTCTGTTTCTAGCCTTACTACACTATAGAGTAACTAGTAGCAGATTATCCCTCTTGAAATAACGAATTATAAAACTGGATAAAATATGTGAAATTTACTGTGATCCCTTAGAGAAATGAATGAGGCAAACCCCACCATCACCCTAGCTTTGTGACTAAAGGTACTTTCTGGACTGCGAAGGCAAAGACTATGGTTCAGAGCTATTGAGGCTCCCTCCCTTCAGGAATCTGCATGGCAATGTACCAGAAATAGAAAAGCTATGCAGAGGAGGAGATCCAAAAATATGGACTTTGGTTCAGTCCTAAACGTTATGTGTGTGAAACAAGATTTCATGAGGCAGGGAAAAATACAACTTTCAGGAAAAAAAACCCTTGAGGTACTGTGAGCTGAACAACTACCAGAGATTACGAAGGACAGGGTTGGGAGATATGTGAGCTCCCAACAGCCAGAGTAGAGACCTCACTAGACACCTAAGCATTCAGCAGAGATCCCAGAAAAATCATGCCTTATAAGCAGACCTAATCTAGCCTTACAGGAAGGGCCACATTACACTCATCCCAACAAAGCTTAAAAAGAAGCCTTGACCAACCTGGCCAACATGGCAAAACTCCGTCTTTACTAAAAATACAAAAATTAGCCAGGCATGGTGGCAGGCACCTCTAATCCCAGCTACTTGGGAGGCTGAAGCAGGAGAATCACTTGAACCTGGTAGGCAGAGGTTGCAGTGAGCCGAGATCATGCCATTGCACTCCAGCCTGGGGGACAAGAGCAAGGCTTTGTTTTAAAATAAAATAAAATAAATTTTTAAAGCCTTAAAAAGAACAAGGTGATCCCTAAGTAAATTAACTGCCTGTTGGAACAAAACTTAATGCTCTGTTAGAAAGACAACACCACAAAGTCAACATCGTAGATGCATACTGTCTAGCGTACAGTAAAAATTACTAGACAGACAGGGATAAAGCTGAAAAATGTGGCCCACAACAAATAGAAAAATCAGCTAATAGAAGACTCAAAATGGTCAGTGATAATGGAACTGGCCAACAAAGACTTGAAAACAGATATTAAAAATATATTCAAGGATTTCAAGGAAAACATGAACTTGATGAGGGAACAAATAAGAATCTCAATAGAGAAATGGTAGCTACAAAAAAGATCCAGATGGATATTCTAGAACTGAAAAGTACATATAAGAAACGAAAAAATCACTGGATGGGCTTAACAGCTGATAACATACTACCAAAGAAAAGATCAGTGAACTTTTAAAGACAGGGCAATAGAAAACATCAACTGGAAACACAGAGAGGAAAAAAAAGCTTAAAGGAAAAATAAATAGAGACCCAGGAACCACAGCCAGTAGTCTAACATATGTGTACCTGTAGTGCATGGCCCTCCGGGGACTGGCATCTCTCCTTCCCACAGCTTCCTCATCACACTCCAGCCACCCTTCCCTCCCTCTGATACTCCACACCGAGCCATCACGTGGGCTGTTCCCTCAACCCGGAATGCTCTTCTTCTCACTCCAAGCTTGGCTCACTCTTACTTATGCTTGAAACTTCAGCTAAAATGTCACTTCCTCAAAGAGGCCCTCCCTGACCCCTAAAATCTAAATCATTTCCCCTCCCATGTATAACCCCTCCTCACACTTTTCCTTCGAGAGCCCTTATCCTAGTATCTAACTAGAAACTGCCTGTGCAGCCATTTATGTATTTCGTCTTCCTCCTCACTAGCATTTACCCTGCATGAAGGGTAAGACTCTGTGTCCCCAGAGTCTCGTGTGACACCTCAACTTCAGCAGAAGCCCATCATGTACCTCTTGGCTGAGAGCGCTGGTACCCCATCTCCTGTGCTGGGCTCTGGGCTTGTCTCAGCCAGACCAAACATCTCTGGACTCCCAGGGCTGGCCAGGGCCAAGGGTATTCTGAAGCTCTCCAGGTAGCCACTGACCATAATTCCCTTTTTTGAGACAGGGTCTTGCCCTGTCACCCAGGCTGGAGGTCACTGTAGCCTTGACCTC